AGGCACCCATAGAGATAGGCGCACATAGAGATAAGCGCCCCTAGAGATAGGCGCCTATAGAGATAGGCGCCGCTAAAGATAGGCGCCCATAGAGATAGGCGCCCCTAGAGATAGGCGCCCATAGAGATAGGCGCCCATAGAGATAGGCGCCCCTAGAGATAGGCGCCCCTAGAGATAGGCGCCCATAGAGATAGGCGCCCAAAGAGATAGGCACTTATAGAGATAGGCGCCCATAGAGATAGGCGCCCATAGAGATAGGCGCCCATAGAGATAGGCGCCCCTAGAGAGAAGTGCCCATAGAGATAGGCGCCACTAGAGATAGGCGCCCCTAGAGATAGGCGCCGCTAAAGATAGGCGCCCATAGAGATAGGCGCCCCTAGAGATAGGCGCCCATAGAGATAGGCGCCCATAGAGATAGGCGCCCCTAGAGATAGGCGCCACTAGAGATAGGCGCCCCTAGAGATAGGCGCCGCTAAAGATAGGCGCCCATAGAGAAAGGCGCCCCTAGAGATAGGCGCCCATAGAGATAGGCGCCCATAGAGATAGGCGCCCCTAGAGATAGGCGCCCCTAGAGATAGGCGCCCATAGAGATAGGCGCCCAAAGAGATAGGCACCCATAGAGATAGGCGCCCATAGAGATAGGCGCCCATAGAGATAGGCGCCCATAGAGATAGGCGCCCCTAGAGATAGGCGCCCATAGAGATAGGCGCCACTAGAGATAGGCGCCCCTAGAGATAGGCGCCCATAGAGATAGGCGCCCGTAGTGATAGGCGCCCATAGAGATATGCGCCCATAGAGATAGGCGCCCATAGAGATAGGCGCCCCTAGAAATAGGCGCCCCTAGAGATAGGCGCCCATAGAGTTAGGCGCCCAAAGAGATAGGCGCCCATAGAGATAGGCGCCCCTAGAGATAGGCGCCCATAGAGATAGGCGCCCCTAGAGATAGCCGCCCCTAGAGATAGGCATCCCTAGAGATAGGCGCCCCTAGAGATAGGGGCCCCTGGAGATAGGCGCCAATAGAGATAGGTGCCCCTAGAGGTAGGCGCCCCTAGAGATGGGCGCCCATAGAGATAGGCGCCTCTAGAAATTGGCGCCCCTAAAGAGAGGCGCCCATAGAGATAGGCGCCTATAGAGATATGTGCCCCTAGAGATAGGCGCCCCTAGAGATAGACGCCCATAGAGATAGGCGCCCATAGAGATATGCGCCCATAGAGATAGGCGCCCCTAGAGATAGGCGCCCCTAGAGATAGGCGCCCATAGAGATAGGCGCCTAAAGAGATAGGCACCTCTATAGATTGGCGCCCCTAAAGAGAGGCAGCCATAGAGATAGGCGCATATAGAGATAGGCGCCCCTAGAGATATGCGCCCTTAGAGATAGGCGCTTATAAGGATAGGCGCCGCTAAAGATAGGCGCCTATAGAGATAGGCGCCCCTAGAGATAGGCGCCCATAGAGATAGGCGCCCATAGAGATAGGCGCCCCTAGAGATAGGCGCCCCTAGAGATAGACGCCCATAGAGATAGGCACCCAAAGAGATAGGCGCCCATAGAGATAGGCGCCCATAGAGATAGACGCTCATAGAGATAGGCGCCCCTAGAGATAGGCGCCCATAGAGATATGCGCCCCTAGAGATAGGCGCCCCTAGAGATAGGCGCCCCTAGAGATAGGCGCCCATAGAGATAGGCGCCCAAAGAGATAGGCGCCCATAGAGATAGGCGCCCCTAGAGATAGGCGCCCAAAGAGATAGGCACCCCTAGAGATAGCCGCCCCTAGAGATAGGCACCCCTAGAGATAGGCGTCCCTAGAGGTATGCGCCCCTGGAGATAGGCGCCTCTAGAGATAGGTGCCCCTAGATGTAGGCGCCCCTAGAGATGGGCGCCCATAGTGATAGGCGCCTCTAGAGATAGGTGCCCCTAGAGATAGGCGTCCATAGAGATAGGCGCCCATAGAGATAGGCGCCACTAGAGATAGGTGCCCCTAGAGATAGGCGTCCATAGAGATAGGCGCTCGTAGAGATAGGCGCCCATAGAGATAGGCGCCCATAGAGATAGGCGCCCATAGAGATAGGCGCCCCTAGAGATAGGCGCCCATAGAGATAGGCGCCCCTAGAGATAGCCGCCCCTAGAGATAGGCACCCCTAGAGATAGGCGCCCCTAGAGATAGGCGCCCCTGGAGATAGGCGCCACTAGAGATAGGTGCCCCTAGAGGTAGGCGCCCCTAGAGATGGGCGCCCATAGAGATAGGCGCCTCTAGAGATTGGCGCCCCTAAAGAGAGGCGCCCATAGAGATAGGCGCCTATAGAGATATGTGCCCCTGGAGATAGGCGCCCCTAGAGATAGACGCCCATAGAGATAGGCGCCCCTAGAGATAGGCGCCCATAGAGATAGGCGCCCATAGAGATAGGCGCCCCTAGAGATAGGCGCACATAGAGATAGGCGCCCATAGAGATTGGAGCCCAAAGATATAGGCGCCTCTAGAGATTGGCGCCCCTAAAGAGAGGCACCCATAGAGATAGGCGCACATAGAGATAAGCGCCCCTAGAGATAGGCGCCTATAGAGATAGGCGCCGCTAAAGATAGGCGCCCATAGAGATAGGCGCCCCTAGAGATAGGCGCCCATAGAGATAGGCGCCCATAGAGATAGGCGCCCCTAGAGATAGGCGCCCCTAGAGATAGGCGCCCATAGAGATAGGCGCCCAAAGAGATAGGCACTTATAGAGATAGGCGCCCATAGAGATAGGCGCCCATAGAGATAGGCGCCCATAGAGATAGGCGCCCCTAGAGATAAGTGCCCATAGAGATAGGCGCCACTAGAGATAGGCGCCCCTAGAGATAGGCGCCGCTAAAGATAGGCGCCCATAGAGATAGGCGCCCCTAGAGATAGGCGCCCATAGAGATAGGCGCCCATAGAGATAGGCGCCCCTAGAGATAGGCGCCACTAGAGATAGGCGCCCCTAGAGATAGGCGCCGCTAAAGATAGGCGCCCATAGAGAAAGGCGCCCCTAGAGATAGGCGCCCATAGAGATAGGCGCCCATAGAGATAGGCGCCCCTAGAGATAGGCGCCCCTAGAGATAGGCGCCCCTAGAGATAGGCGCCCAAAGAGATAGGCACCCATAGAGATAGGCGCCCATAGAGATAGGCGCCCATAGAGAAAGGCGCCCATAGAGATAGGCGCCCCTAGAGATAGGCGCCCATAGAGATAGGCGCCACTAGAGATAGGCGCCCCTAGAGATAGGCGCCCATAGAGATAGGCGCCCGTAGTGATAGGCGCCCATAGAGATATGCGCCCATAGAGATAGGCGCCCATAGAGATAGGCGCCCCTAGAAATAGGCGCCCCTAGAGATAGGCGCCCATAGAGTTAGGCGCCCAAAGAGATAGGCGCCCATAGAGATAGGCGCCCATAGAGATAGGCGCCCATAGAGATAGGCGCCCCTAGAGATAGCCGCCCCTAGAGATAGGCATCCCTAGAGATAGGCGCCCCTAGAGATAGGCGCCCCTGGAGATAGGCGCCACTAGAGATAGGTGCCCCTAGAGGTAGGCGCCCCTAGAGATGGGCGCCCATAGAGATAGGCGCCTCTAGAAATTGGCGCCCCTAAAGAGAGGCGCCCATAGAGATAGGCGCCTATAGAGATATGTGCCCCTAGAGATAGGCGCCCCTAGAGATAGACGCCCATAGAGATAGGCGCCCATAGAGATATGCGCCCATAGAGATAGGCGCCCCTAGAGATAGGCGCCCCTAGAGATAGGCGCCCATAGAGATAGGCGCCTAAAGAGATAGGCACCTCTATAGATTGGCGCCCCTAAAGAGAAGCAGCCATAGAGATAGGCGCACATAGAGATATGCGCCCCTAGAGATATGCGCCCTTAGAGATAGGCGCTTATAAAGATAGGCGCCGCTAAAGATAGGCGCCTATAGAGATAGGCGCCCCTAGAGATAGGCGCCCATAGAGATAGGCGCCCATAGAGATAGGCGCCCCTAGAGATAGGCGCCCCTAGAGATAGACGCCCATAGAGATAGGCACCCAAAGAGATAGGCGCCCATAGAGATAGGCGCCCATAGAGATAGACGCTCATAGAGATAGGCGCCCCTAGAGATAGGCGCCCATAGAGATATGCGCCCCTAGAGATAGGCGCCCCTAGAGATAGGCGCCCCTAGAGATAGGCGCCCATAGAGATATGCGCCCAAAGAGATAGGCGCCCATAGAGATAGGCGCCCCTAGAGATAGGCGCCCAAAGAGATAGGCACCCCTAGAGATAGCCGCCCCTAGAGATAGGCACCCCTAGAGATAGGCGTCCCTAGAGGTATGCGCCCCTGGAGATAGGCGCCTCTAGAGATAGGTGCCCCTAGATGTAGGCGCCCCTAGAGATGGGCGCCCATAGTGATAGGCGCCTCTAGAGATTTGCGCCCCTAAAGAGACGCGCCCATAGAGATAGGCGCCCATAGAGATAGGCGCCCCTAGAGATAGGCGCCCTTAGAGATAAACACCCATAGAGATAGGCGCCCCTAGAGATAGGCGCCCATAGAGATAGACGCCCACAGAGATAGGCGCCCCTGGAGATAGGCGCCCCTAGAGATAGGGGCTCATATTGATAGACGCCCAAAGAGATAGGTGCCCATAGAGATAGGAGCCCCTAGAGATAGGCGCCTATAGAGATAGGCGCCCCTAGAGATAGCCGCCCATAGCGATAGGCACCCCTAGAGATAGGCGCCCCTAGAGATAGGCGCCCCTGGAGATAGGCGCCCCTAGAGATAGGCGCCCCTAGAGATAGGCGCCCATACAGATAGGCGCCCAAAAAGATAAGCGCCTCTAGAGATTGGCGCCCCTAAAGAGAGGCGCCCATAGAGATAGGCGCACATGGAGATAGGCGCCCCTAGAGATAGGCGCCCCTAGAGATAGGCGCCTATAGAGATGGGCGCTGCTAGAGATAGACGCCCATAGAGATAGGCGCCCCTAGAGATAGGCGCCCATAGAGATAGGCGCCCATAGAGATAGGCACCCCTAGAGATAGGCGCCCCTAGAGATAGGCGCCCATAGAGATAGGCGCCCAAAGAGATAGGCGCCCTTAGAGGTAGGCGCCCATAGAGATAGGCGCCCATAGAGATAGGCGCCCATAGAGATAGGCGCCCCTAGAGATAGGCGCCCATAGAGATATGCGCCCCTAGAGATAGGCGCCCCTAGAGATAGGCGCCCAAAGAGATAGGCGCCCATAGAGATAGGCGCCCCTAGAGATAGCCGCCCCTAGAGATAGGCACCCCTAGAGATAGGCGCCCCTAGAGATAGGCGCCCCTGGAGATAGGCGGCCCTAGAGATAGGTGCCCCTAGAGATAGCCGCCCCTAGAGAAAGGCACCCCTAGAGATAGGCGCAACTAGAGATAGGCGCCCCTAAAGATAGGCGCCCCTAGAGATAGGTGCCCCTAGAGGTAGGTGCCCCTAGAGATGGGCGACCATAGAGATAGGCACCTCTAGTGATTGGCGCCCCTAAAGAGAGGCGCCCATAGAGATAGGCGCCCGTATAGATAGGCGCCCCTAGAGATAGGCGCCCCTTGAGATAGACGCCCATAGAGATAGGCGCCCCTAGAGATAGGCGCCCATAGAGATAGGTGCCCATAGAGATAGGCGCCCATAGAGATAGGCGCCCCTAGAGATAGGCGCCCAAAGGGATAGGCACCTCTAGAGATTGGCGCCCCTAAAGAGAGGCGCCCATAGAGATAGGCGCACATAGAGATAGGCGCCCCTAGTGATAGGCGCCCCTAGAGATAGGCGCCGCTAAAGATAGGCGCCCTAGAGATAGGCGCCCCAAGAGATAGGCGCCCATAGAGATAGGCGCCCATAGAGATAGGCGCCCAAAGAGATAGTCGCCTATCGAGATAGGCGCCCCTAGAGATAGGCGCCCATAGAGATATGCGCCCCTAGAGATAGCCGCCCCTAGAGATAGGCACCCCTAGAGATAGGCGCCCCTAGAGATAGGCGCCCCTCGGGATAGACGCCCCTAGAGATACGTGCCCCTAGAGATTGGCGCCCTTAGAGATAGGCGCCCCTAGAGATAGGCGCCCATAGAGATAGGCCGCCGCTAGAGATAGGCTCCCCTAGAGATAGGCGCCCCTAGAGATAGGCGCCCATAGAGATAGGCGCCCATAGAGATAGGCGCCCCCAGAGATAGGCACCCATAGAGATAAGCGCCCACAGAGATAGGCGCCACATAGAGATAGGCACCCCTAGAGATAGGCGCCCATAGAGATAGGCGCCCATAGAGATAGGCGCCCATAGAGATAGGCGCCCATAGAGATAGGCGCCCCAAGAGATAGGCGCCCCTAGAGATAGGCGCCCATAGAGATAGGCGCCCAAAGAGATAGCTGCCCATAGAGATAGGCGCCCCTAGAGATAGACGCCCATAGAGATAGGTGCCCCTAGAGATAGCCGCCCCTAGAGATAGGCACCCCTAGAGATAGGCGCCCTTAGAGATAGGCGCCCCTGGAGATAGGCGCACCTAGAGATAGGTGCCCCTAGAGGTAGGCGCCCCTAGAGATGGGCGACCATAGAGATAGGCGCCTCTAGAGATTGGCGCCCCTAAAGAGAGGCGCCCATAGAGATAGGCGCCCATAGAGATAGGCACCCCTAGAGATAGGCGCCCCTTGAGACAGACGCCCATAGAGATAGCCGCCCCTAGAGATAGGCGCCCATAGAGATAGGCGCCCATAGAGATAGGTGCCCCTAGAGATTGGCGCCCATAGAGATATGCGCCCCTAGAGATAGGCGCTCCTAGAGATAGGCGCCCCTAGAGATAGGCGCCACTAGAGATAGGCGCCCCTAGAGATAGGCGCCCACAGAGATAGGCACCCCTAGAGATAGGCGCCCATAGAGATAGGCGCCCATAGAGATAGGCGCCCATAGAGATAGGCGCCCATAGAGATAGGCGCCCATAGAGATAGGCGCCCATAGAGATAGGCGCCCATAGAGATAGGCGCCCATAGAGATAGGCGCCCATAGAGATAGGCGCCTCTAGAGATAGGCGCCCCTAGAGATAGGCGCCCATAGAGATAGGCGCCCAAAGAGATAGGCGCCCATAGAGATAGGCGCCCCTAGAGATAGACGCCCATAGAGATAGGCGCCCCTAGAGATAGCCGCCCCTAGAGATAGGCACCCCTAGAGATAGGCGTCCCTAGAGGTATGCGCCCCTGGAGATAGGCGCCTCTAGAGATAGGTGCCCCTAGAGGTAGGCGCCCCTAGAGATGGGCGCCCATAGAGATAGGCGCCTCTAGAGATTTGCGCCCCTAAAGAGACGCGCCCATAGAGATAGGCGCCCATAGAGATAGGCGCCCCTAGAGATAGGCGCCCTTAGAGATAAACACCCATAGAGATAGGCGCCCCTAGAGATAGGCGCCCATAGAGATAGACGCCCATAGAGATAGGCGCCCCTAGAGATAGGCGCCCCTAGAGATAGGGGCCCATAGAGATAGGCGCCCAAAGAGATAGGTGCCCATAGAGATAGGAGCCCCTAGAGATAGGCGCCCATAGAGATAGGCGCCCCTAGAGATAGCCGCCCATAGCGATAGGCACCCCTAGAGATAGGCGCCCCTAGAGATAGGCGCCCCTGGAGATAGGCGCCCCTAGAGATAGGCGCCCCTAGAGATAGGCGCCCATACAGATAGGCGCCCAAAAAGATAAGCGCCTCTAGAGATTGGCGCCCCTAAAGAGAGGAGCCCATAGAGATAGGCGCACATAGAGATAGGCGCCCCTAGAGATAGGCGCCCCTAGAGATAGGCGCCTATAGAGATGGGCGCTGCTAGAGATAGACGCCCATAGAGATAGGCGCCCCTAGAGATAGGCGCCCATAGAGATAGGCGCCCATAGAGATAGGCACCCCTAGAGATAGGCGCCCCTAGAGATAGGCGCCCATAGAGATAGGCGCCCAAAGAGATAGGCGCCCATAGAGGTAGGCGCCCATAGAGATAGGCGCCCATAGAGATAGGCGCCCATAGAGATAGGCGCCCCTAGAGATAGGCGCCCATAGAGATATGCGCCCCTAGAGATAGGCGCCCGTAGAGATAGGCGCCCAAAGAGATAGGTGCCCATAGAGATAGGCGCCCCTAGAGATAGCCGCCCCTAGAGATAGGCACCCCTAGAGATAGGCGCCCCTAGAGATAGGCGCCCCTGGAGATAGGCGGCCCTAGAGATAGGTGGCACTAGAGATAGCCGCCCCTAGAGAAAGGCACCCCTAGAGATAGGCGCAACTAGAGATAGGCGCCCCTAAAGATAGGCGCCCCTAGAGATAGGTGCCCCTAGAGGTAGGCGCCCCTGGAGATGGGCGACCATAGAGATAGGCACCTCTAGAGATTGGCGCCCCTAAAGAGAGGCGCCCATAGAGATAGGCGCCCGTAGAGATAGGCGCCCCTAGAAATAGGCGCCCCTTGAGATAGACGCCCATAGAGATAGGCGCCCCTAGAGATAGGCGCCCATAGAGATAGGCGCCCATAGAGATAGGCGCCCATAGAGATAGGCGCCCCTAGAGATAGGCACCCAAAGGGATAGGCACCTCTAGAGATTGCCGCCCCTAAAGAGAGGCGCCCATAGAGATAGGCGCACATAGAGATAGGCGCCCCTAGTGATAGGCGCCCCTAGAGATAGGCGCCGCTAAAGATAGGCGCCCTAGAGATAGGCGCCCCAAGAGATAGGCGCCCATAGAGATAGGCGCCCATAGATATAGGCGCCCAAAGAGATAGTCGCCTATCGAGATAGGCGCTCCTAGAGATAGGCGCCCATAGAGATATGCGCCCCTAGAGATAGCCGCCTCTAGAGATAGGCACCCCTAGAGATAGGCGCCCCTAGAGATAGGCGCCCCTCGGGATAGACGCCCCTAGAGATACGTGCCCCTAGAGAGTGGCGCCCTTAGAGATACGCGCCCCTAGAGATAGGCGCCCATAGAGATAGGCCGCCGCTAGAGATAGGCTCCCCTAGAGATAGGCGCCCCTAGAGATAGGCGCCCATAGAGATAGGCGCCCATAGAGATAGGCGCCCCCAGAGATAGGCACCCATAGAGATAAGCGCCCACAGAGATAGGCGCCCCATAGAGATAGGCACCCCTAGAGATAGGCGCCCATAGAGATAGGCGCCCATAGAGATAGGCGCCCATAGAGATAGGCGCCCCAAGAGATAGGCGCCCCTAGAGATAGGCGCCCATAGAGATAGGCGCCCAAAGAGATAGCCGCCCATAGAGATAGGCGCCCCTAGAGATAGGCGCCCATAGAGATAGGTGCCCCTAGAGATAGCCGCCCCTAGAGATAGGCACCCCTAGAGATAGGCGCCCTTAGAGATAGGCGCCCCTGGAGATAGGCGCACCTAGAGATAGGTGCCCCTAGAGGTAGGCGCCCCTAGAGATGGGCGACCATAGAGATAGGCGCCTCTAGAGATTGGCGCCCCTAAAGAGAGGCGCCCATAGAGATAGGCGCCCATAGAGATAGGCACCCCTAGAGATAGGCGCCCCATGAGATAGACGCCCATAGAGATAGCCGCCCCTAGAGATAGGCGCCCATAGAGATAGGCGCCCATAGAGATAGGTGCCCCTAGAGATTGGCGCCCATAGAGATATGCGCCCCTAGAGATAGGCGCTCCTAGAGATAGGCGCCCCTAGAGATAGGCGCCACTAGAGATAGGCGCACCTAGAGATAGGCGCCCACAGAGATAGGCACCCCTAGAGATAGGCGCCCATAGAGATATGCGCCCATAGAGATAGGCACCCATAGAGATAGGCGCCCATAGAGATAGGAGCCCATAGAGATAGGCGCCCATAGAGATAGGCGCCCATAGAGATAGGCGCCCATAGAGATAGGCGCCCATAGAGATAGGCGCCCATAGAGATAGGCGCCCCTAGAGATAGGCGCCCCTAGAGATAGGCGCCCATAGAGATAGGCGCCCATAGAGATAGGCGCCCCTAGAGATAGGCGCCCATAGAGATAGGCGCCCATAGAGATAGGCACCCATAGAGATAGGTGCCCCTAGAGATTGGCGCCCATAGAGATATGCGCCCCTAGAGATAGGCGCTCCTAGAGATAGGCGCCCCTAGAGATAGGCGCCCCTAGAGATAGGCGCCCATAGAGATAGGCGCCCCTAGAGATAGGCACCACTACAGATAGGCGCCCCTAGAGATAGGCGCCCATAGAGATAGGCACCCCTAGAGATAGGCGCCCATAGAGATAGGCGCCCATAGAGATAGGCACCCATAGAGATAGGCACCCCTAGAGATAGGCGCCCCTTAAGATAGACGCCCATAGAGATAGCCGCCCCTAGAGATAGGCGCCCATAGAGATAGGCGCCCATATATATAGGTGCCCTTAGAGATTGGAGCCCATAGAGATATGCGCCCCTAGAGATAGGCGCCCATAGAGATAGGCGCCCCTAGAGATAGGCGCCCATAGAGATAGGCGCCCCTAGAGATAGGCGCCACTAGAGATAGGCGCCCCTAGAGATAGGCGCCCATAGAGATAGGCACCCCTAGAGATAGGCGCCCATAGAGAGAGGCGCCCATGATAGGCGCCCATAGAGATAGGCGCCCATAGAGATAGGCGCCCATAGAGATAGGCGCCCATAGAGATAGGCGCCCATAGAGAGAGGCGCCCATAGAGATAGGCGCCCATAGAGATAGGCGCCCATAGAGATAGGCGCCCATAGAGATAGGCGCCCATAGAGATAGGCGCCCATAGAGATAGGTGCCCATAGAGATAGGCACCCATAGAGATAGGCGCCCATAGAGATAGGCGCCCATAGAGATAGGCGCCCAAAGCGATAGGCGCTTATAGAGGTAGGCGCCCATAGAGATAGGCGCCCATAGAGATAGGCGCCCATAGAGATAGGCGCCCATAGAGATAGGCGCCCAAAGCGATAGGCGCCCATAGAGGTAGGCGCCCATAGAGATAGGCGCCCATAGAGAAAGGCGCCCATAGAGATAGGCGCCCCTAGAGATAGGCGCCCATAGAGATAGGCGCCCATAGAGATAGGCGCCCATAGAGATAGGCGCCCATAGAGAAAGGCGCCCATAGAGATAGGTGCCCATAGAGATAGGCGCCCATAGAGATAGGCGCCCATAGAGATAGGCGCCCATAGAGATAGGCGCCCATAGAGATAGGCGCCCGTAGAGATAGGCGCCCATAGAGATAGGCGCCCATAGAGATAGGCGCCCATAGAGATAGGCGCCCATAGAGATAGGCGCCCAAAGAGATAGGCGCCCATAGAGGTAGGCGCCCATAGAGATAGACGCCCATAGAGATAGGCGCCCATAGAGATAGGCGCCCCTAGAGATAGGCGCCCATAGAGATATGCGCCCCTAGAGATAGGCGCCCCTAGAGATAGGCGCCCCTAGAGATAGGCGCCCATAGAGATAGGCGCCCCTAGAGATAGCCGCCCCTAGAGATAGGCACCCCTAGAGATAGGCGCCCCTAGAGATAGGCGCCCCTGGAGATAGGCGGCCCTAGAGATAGGTGCCCCTAGAGATAGCCGCACCTAGAGAAAGGCACCCCTAGAGATAGGCGCAACTAGAGATAGGCGTCCCTAAAGATAGGCGCCCCTAGAGATAGGTGCCCCTAGAGGTAGGCGCCCCTAGAGATGGGCGCCCATAGAGATAGGCGCCCATAGAGATAGGCGCCCATAGAGATAGGTGCCCATAGAGATAGGCGCCCATAGAGATAGGCGCACATAGAGATAGGCGCCCATAGATCTAGGCGCCCATAGAGATAGGCGCCCATAGATCTAGGCGCCCATAGAGATATGCGCCCCTAGAGATAGGCGCCCCTAGAGATAGGCGCCCAAAGCGATAGGCGCCCATAGAGATAGGCGCCCCTAGAGATAGCCGCCCCTAGAGATAGGCACCCCTATAGATAGGCGCCCCTAGAGATAGGCGCCCCTGGAGATAGGCGGCCCTAGAGATAGGTGCCCCTAGAGATAGCCGCCCCTAGAGAAAGGCACCCCTAGAGATAGGCGCAACTAGAGATAGGCGCCCCTAAAGATAGGCGCCCCTAGAGATAGGTGCCCCTAGAGGTAGGCGCCCCTAGAGATGGGCGACCATAGAGATAGGCACCTCTAGAGATTGGCGCCCCTAAAGAGAGGCGCCCATAGAGATAGGAGCCCGTAGAGATAGGCGCCCCTAGAGATAGGCGCCCCTTGAGATAGACGCCCATAGAGATAGGCGCCCCTAGAGATAGGCGCCCATAGAGATAGGCGCCCATAGAGATAGGCGCCCATAGAGATAGGCGCCCCTAGAGATAGGCGCCCAAAGGGATAGGCACCTCTAGAGATTGGCGCCCCTTAAGAGAGACGCCCATAGAGATAGGCGCACATAGAGATAGGCGCCCCTAGTGATAGGCGCCCCTAGAGATAGGCGCCGCTAAAGATAGGCGCCCTAGAGATAGGCGCCCCAAGAGATAGGCGCCCATAGAGATAGGCGCCCATAGAGATAGGCGCCCATAGAGATAGGCGCCCCTAGAGATAGGCGCCCCTAGAGATAGGCGCCCATAGAGATAGGCGCCCAAAGAGATAGCCGCCCATAGAGATAGGCGCCCCTAGAGATAGGCGCCCATAGAGATAGGTTCCCCTAGAGATAGCCGCCCCTAGAGATAGGCACCCCTAGAGATAGGCGCCCTTAGAGATAGGCGCCCCTGGAGATAGGCGCACCTAGAGATAGGTGCCCCTAGAGGTAGGCGCCCCTAGAGATGGGCGACCATAGAGATAGGCGCCTCTAGAGATTGGCGCCCCTAAAGAGAGGCGCCCATAGAGATAGGCGCCCATAGAGATAGGCACCCCTAGAGATAGGCGCCCCTTGAGATAGACGCCCATAGAGATAGCCGCCCCTAGAGATAGGCGCCCATAGAGATAGGCGCCCAGATAGGTGCCCCTAGAGATTGGCGCCCATAGAGATATGCGCCCCTAGAGATAGGCGCTCCTAGAGATAGGCGCCCCTAGAGATAGGCGCCACTAGAGATAGGCGCCCCTAGAGATAGGCGCCCACAGAGATAGGCACCCCTAGAGATAGGCCCATAGAGATAGGCGCCCATAGAGATAGGCGCCCATAGAGATAGGCGCCCATAGAGATAGGCGCCCATAGAGATAGGCGCCCATAGAGATAGGCGCCCATAGAGATAGGCGCCCATAGAGATAGGCGCCCATAGAGATAGGCGCCCATAGAGATAGGCGCCCCTAGAGATAGGCGCCCCTAGAGATAGGAGCCCATAGAGATAGGCGCCCATAGAGATAGGCGCCCCTAGAGATAGGCGCCCATAGAGATAGGCGCCCATAGAGATAGGCACCCATAGAGATAGGTGCCCCTAGAGATTGGCGCCCATAGAGATATGCGCCCCTAGAGATAGGCGCTCCTAGAGATAGGCGCCCATAGAGATAGGCGCCCATAGAGATAGGCGCCCATAGAGATAGGCGCCCATAGAGATAGGCGCCCCTAGAGATAGGCGCCCCTAGAGATAGGCGCCCATAGAGATAGGCGCCCATAGAGATAGGCGCCCCTAGAGATAGGCGCCCATAGAGATAGGCGCCCATAGAGATAGGCGCCCATAGAGATAGGCGCCCCAAGAGATTGGGCGCCTATCTCTATGGGCGCCTCTAGAGATTGGCGCCTATCTCTAGTGGCGCCTATCTCTAGGGGCGCCTATCTCTATGGGCGCCTATCTCTAGGGGCGCCTATCTCTAGGGGCGCCTATCTCTAGGAGCGCCTATCTCTAGGGGCGCATATCTCTATGGGCGCCAATCTCTAAGGGCACCTATCTCTATGGGCGCCTATCTCTAAGGGCGCCTATCTCTAGGGGCGGCTATCTCTATGGGCGTCTATCTCAAGGGGCGCCTATCTCTAGGGGTGCCTATCTCTATGGGCGCCTATCTTTATGGGCGCCTATCTCTATGGGCGCCTATCTCTAGGGGTGCCTATTTCTATGGGCGCCTATCTCTAGGGGCGCCTATCTGTAGTGGCGCCTATCTCTAGGGGCGCCTATCTCTATGGGCGCCTATCTCTAGGGGCGCCTATCTCTAGGGGCGCCTATCTCTAGGAGCGCCTATCTCTAGGGGCGCATATTTCTATGGGCGCCAATCTCTAGGGGCACCTATCTCTATGGGTGCCTATCTCTATGGGCGCCTATCTCTATGGGCGCCTATCTCTAGGGGCGCCTATCTCTATGGGCGCCTATCTCTATGGGCGCCTATCTCTAGGTGCGCCTATCTCTAGGGGCGCCTATCTCTATGGGCGCCTATCTCTATGGGCGCCTATCTCTATGGGCGCCTATCTCTATGGGCGCCTATCTCTATGGGCGCCTATCTCTATGGGCGCCTATCTCTATGGGCGCCTATCTCTATGGGCGCCTATCTCTATGGGCGCCTATCTCTATGGGCGCCTATCTCTAGGGTGCCTATCTTTGTGGGCGCCTATCTCTAGGGGCACCTATCTCTAGTGGCGCCTATCTCTAGGGGCGCCTATCTCTAGGAGCGCCTATCTCTAGGGGCGCATATCTCTATGGGCGCCAATCTCTAGGGGCACCTATCTCTATGGGCGCCTATCTCTATGGGCGCCTATCTCTAGGGGCGGCTATCTCTATGGGCGTCTATCTCAAGGGGCGCCTATCTCTAGGGGTGCCTATCTCTATGGGCGCCTATCTCTATGGGCGCCTCTCTTTAGGGGCGCCAATCTCTAGAGGCGCCTATCTCTATGGTCGCCCATCTCTAGGGGCGCCTACCTCTAGGGGCACCTATCTCTAGGGGCGCCTATCTCCAGGGGCGCCTATCTCTAAGGGCGCCTATCTCTAGGGGTGCCTATCTCTAGGGGCGGCTATCTCTAGGGGCACCTATCTCTATGGGCGCCTATCTCTAGGGGCGCCTATCTCTATGGGCGGCTATCTCTTTGGGCGCCTATCTCTATGGGCGCCTATCTCTAGGGGCGCCTATCTCTTGGGGCGCCTATCTCTATGGGCGCCTATCTCTATGGGCGCCTATCTCTATGGGCGCCTATCTCTATGGGCGCCTATCTCTAGGGGTGCCTATCTCTATGGGGCGCCTATCTCTGTGGGCGCTTATCTCTATGGGTGCCTATCTCTGGGGGCGCCTATCTCTATGGGCGCCTATCTCTATGGGCGCCTATCTCTAGGGGCGCCTATCTCTAGGGGCGCCTATCTCTATGGGCGCCTATCTCTATGGACGCCTATCTCTATGGGCGCCTATCTCTATGGGCGCCTATCTCTATGGGCGCCTATCTCTATGGGCGCCTATCTCTAGGGGTGCCTATATCTGTGGGCGCCTATCCCTAGGGGAGCCTATCTCTAGTGGCGCCTATCTCTAGGGGCGCCTATCTCTAGGAGCGCCTATCTCTAGGGGCGCATATCTATAAGGGCGCCTATCTCTATGGGCGCCTATCTCTATGGGCGCCTATCTCTATGGGCGCCTATCTCTATGGGCGCCTATCTCTATGGGCGCCTATCTCTATGGGCGCCTATCTCTATGGGCGCCTATCTCTATGGGCGCCTATCTCTATGGGCGCCTATCTCTAGGGTGCCTATCTCTGTGGGCGCCTATCTCTAGGGGCACCTATCTCTAGTGGCGCCTATCTCTAGGGGCGCCTATCTCTAGGAGCGCCTATCTCTAGGGGCGCATATCTCTATGGGCGCCAATCTCTAGGGGCACCTATCTCTATGGGCGCCTATCTCTATGGGCGCCTATCTCTAGGGGCGGCTATCTCTATGGGCGTCTATCTCAAGGGGCGCCTATCTATAGGGGTGCCTATCTCTATGGGCGCCTATCTCTATGGGCGCCTCTCTTTAGGGGCGCCAATCTCTAGAGGCGCCTATCTCTATGGTCGCCCATCTCTAGGGGCGCCTACCTCTAGGGGCACCTATCTCTAGGGGCGCCTATCTCCAGGGGCGCCTATCTCTAAGGGCGCCTATCTCTAGGGGTGCCTATCTCTAGGGGCGGCTATCTCTAGGGGCACCTATCTCTATGGGCGCCTATCTCTAGGGGCGCCTATCTCTATGGGCGGCTATCTCTTTGGGCGCCTATCTCTATGGGCGCCTATCTCTAGGGGCGCCTATCTCTTGGGGCGCGTATCTCTATGGGCGCCTATCTCTATGGGCGCCTATCTCTATGGGCGCCTATCTCTATGGGCGCCTATCTCTAGGGGTGCCTATCTCTATGGGGTGCCTATCTCTGTGGGCGCTTATCTCTATGGGTGCCTATCTCTGGGGGCACCTATCTCTGTGGGCGCCTATCTCTATGGGCGCCAATCTCTAGGGGCGCCTATCTCTAGGGGCGCCTATCTCTAGCGGCGGCCTATCTCTATGGGCGCCTATCTCTAGGGGCGCCTATCTCTAAGGGCGCCAATCTCTAGGGGCACGTATCTCTAGGGGCGTCTATCCCGAGGGGCGCCTATCTCTAGGGGCGCCTATCTCTAGGGGTGCCTATCTCTAGGGGTGGCTATCTCTAGGGGCGCATATCTCTATGGGCGCCTATCTCTAGGGGCGCCTATCTCGATAGGCGACTATCTCTTTGGGCGCCTATCTCTACGGGCGCCTATCTCTATGGGCGCCTCTCTTTAGGGGCGCCAATCTCTAGAGGTGCCTATCTCTATGGTCGCCCATCTCTAGGGGCGCCTACCTCTAGGGGCACCTATCTCTAGGGGCGCCTATCTTTAGGGGCGCCTATCTCTAGTTGCGCCTATCTCTAGGGGTGCCTTTCTCAAGGGGCGGTTATCTCTAGGGGCACCTATCTCTAGGGCCGCCTATCTCCAGGGGCGCCTATCTCTAGGGGCGCCTATCTCTAGGGGTGCCTATCTCTAGGGGTGGCTATCTCTAGGGGCGCCTATCTCTATGGGCGCCTATCTCTTTGGGCGCCTATCTCTAGGGGCGCCTATCTCTAGGGGCGCATATCTCTATGGGCGCCTATCTCTAGGGGCGCCTATCTCTATGGGCGCCTATCTCTATGGGCGCCTATCTCTATGGGCGCCTACCTCTATGGGCGCCTATCTCTTTGGGCGCCTATCTCTATGGGCGCCTATCTCTAGGGGCGCCTATCTCTAGGGGTGCCTATCTCTATGAGCGCCTATCTCTATGGGCGCCTATATCTAGGGGCGCCTATCTCTATGGGCGTCTATCTCTAGTAGCGCCCATCTCTATAGGCGCCTATCTCTAGGGGCGCCTATCTCTAGGGGCGCCTATCTCTATGTGCGCCTATCTCTATGGGCGCCTCTCTTTAGGGGCGCCAATCTCTAGAGGCGCTTATCTTTTTGGGTGCCTATCTGTATGGGCGCCTATCTCTAGGGGCGCCTATCTCTAGGGGCGCCTATCTCCAGGGGCGCCTATCTCTAGGGGCGCCTATCTCTAGGGGTGCCTATCGCTATGGGCGGCTATCTCTAGGGGCGCCTATCTCTATGGGCGCCTATCTCTAGGGGCTCCTATCTCTATGGGCACCTATCTTTTTGGGCGCCTATCTCTATGGGCCCCTATCTCTAGGGGCGCCTATCTCTAGGGGCGCCTATCTCTATGGGCGTCTATCTCTATGGGCGCCTATCTCTAGGGGCGCCTATCTCTATGGGCGTTTATCTCTAAGGGCGCCTATCTCTAGGGGCGCCTATCTCTAAGGGCGCCTATCTCTACGGGCGCGTCTCTTTAGGGGCGCAAATCTCTAGAGGCGCCTATCTCTATGGGCGCCCATCTCTAGGGGCGCCTACCTCTAGGGGCACCTATCTCTAGAGGCGCCTATTTCAAGGGGCGCATATCTCTAGGGGCGCCTATCTCTAGGGGTGCCTATCTCTAGGGGCGGCTATCTCTAGGGGCGCCTATCTCTATGGGCGCCTATCTCTAGGGGCGCCTATCTCTATGGGCGCCTATCTCTTTGGGCGCCTATCTCTATGGACGCCTATCTCTAGGGGCGCCTATCTCTAGGGGCGCCTATCTCTATGGGCGCCTATCTCTATTGGCGCATATCTCTATGGGCGCCTATCTCTATGGGCGCCTATCTCTATGGGCGCCTATCTCTATGGGCGTCTATCTCTATGGGCACCTATCTCTAGGGGCGCCTATCTCTAGTGGAGCCTAACTCTAGGGGCGCCTATCTCTATGGGCGCCTATCTCAAGGGGCGCCTATCTCTAGGGGCGCCTATCTCTAGGGGCGCCTATCTCTAGGGGCGCATATCTCTATGGGCGCCTATATCTAGGGGCGCTTATCTCTATGAGCGCCTATCTCTATGGGCGCCTATCTCTATGGGCGCCTATCTGTTTGGGCGCCTATCTCTATGGGCGTCTATCTCTAGGCGCGCCTATCTCTAGGGGCGCCTATCTCTATGGGCGCCTATCTCTATGGGCGCCTATCTCTAGGGGCGCCTATCTCTATGGGCGCCTATCTTTAGCTGCGCCTATCTCTATAAGCGCCTATCTCTAAGGGCGCCTATCTCTAGGGGCGCCTATCTCTATGTGCGCCTATCTCTATGGGCGCCTCTCTTTAGGGGCGCCAATCTCTAGAGGCGCCTATCTCTTTGGGCGCCTATCTCTATGGGCGGCTATCTCTAGGGGCGCCTATCTCTAGGGCGCCTATCTCTATGGGCGCATATCTCTATGGGCGCCTATCTCTAGGGGCGCCTATCTCTATGGGCGTCTATCTCTATAGGCGCCTATCTCTATGGGCGCCTCTCTTTAGGGGCGCCAATTTCTAGAGGCGCCTATCTCTATGGGCGCCCATCTCTAGGGGCGCCTACCTCTAGGGGCACCTATATCTAGTGGCGCCTATCTCCAGGGGCGCCTATCTCTAGGGGCGCCTATCTCTAGGGATGCCTATATCTAGGGGCGGCTATCTCTAGGGGCGCCTATCTCTATGGGCGCCTATCTCTAGGGGCGCCTATCTCTATGGGCGCCTATCTCTTTGGGCGCCTATCTTTATGGGCGCCTATCTCTAGGGGCGCCTATCTCTAGGGGCGCCTATCTCTATGGGCGCCTATCTCTATGGGCGCATATCTCTATGGGCGCCTATCTCTACGGGCGCCTATCTCTATGGGCGCCTATCTCTAGGGGCGCCTATCTCTAGTGGCGCCTATCTCTATGGGCGCCTATCTCTAGGGGCGCCTATCTCAATGGGCGCCTATCTCTATGGGCGCCTATCTCTATGGGCGCCTATCTCTATGGGTGCCTATCTCTTTGGGCGCCTATCTCTATGGGCGCCTATCTCTAGGGGCGCCTATCTCTAGGGGCGCCTATCTCTATGGGCGCCTATCTCTATTGGCGCCTATCTCTAGGGGCGCCTATCTCTATGGGCGCCTATCTTTAGCGGCGCCTATCTCTAGGGGCGCCTATCTCTAGTGGCGCCTATCTCTATGGGCACCTATCTCTAGGGGCGCCTATCTCTATGGGCGCCTATCTCTATGGGCGCCTATCTCTATGGGCGCCTATCTCTATGAGTGCCTATCTCTTTGGGCGCCTATCTCTATGGGCGCCTATCTCTAGGGGCGCCTATCTCTATGGGCGCCTATCTCTATGGGCGCCTATCTCTATGGGCGCCTATCTCTAGGGGCGCCTATCTCTATGGGCGCCTATCTTTAGCGGCTCCTATCTCTATAGGTGCCTATCTCTAGGGGCGCTTATCTCTATGTGCGCCTATCTCTATGGGCGCCTCTCTTTAGGGGCGCCAATCTCTAGAGGCGCCTATCTCTTTGGGCGCCAATCTCTATGGGCGCCTATCTCTATGTGCGCCTATCTCTAGGGGCGCCTATCTCTATGGGCGCCTATCTCTATGGGCACCTATCTCTAGGGGCGCCTATCTCTATGGGCGTCTATCTCTAGGGGCGCCTATCTCTAGGGGCACATATCTCTATAGGCGCCTATCTCTATGGGCGCCTCTCTTTAGGGGCGCCAATCTCTAGAGGAGCCTATCTCTATGGGCGCCCATCTCTAGGGGCGCCTACCTCTAGGGGCACCTATCTCTAGTGGCGCCTATATCCAGGGGCGCCTATCTCTAGGGGCGCCTATCTCTAGGGGTGCCTATCTCTAGGGGCGGCTATCTCTAGGGGCGCCTATCTCTATGGGCGCCTATCTCTAGGGGCGCCTATCTCTATGGGCGCCTATCTCTATGGGCGCCTATCTCTATGGGCGCCTATCTCTATGGGCGCCTATCTCTATGGGCGCCTATCTCTAGGGGCGCCTATCTCTAGGGGCGCCTATCTCTTTTGGCGCCTATCTCTATGGGCGCCTATCTCTAGGGGCGCCTATCTCTATGGGCGCCTATCTTTAGCGGCGCCTATCTCTATAGGCGCCTATCTCTAGGGGCGCTTATCTCTATGTGCGCCTATCTCTATGGGCGCCTCTCTTTAGGGGCGCCAATCTCTAGAGGCGCCTATCTCTTTGGGCGCCAATCTCTATGTGCGCCTATCTCTAGTGGCGCCTATCTCTATGGGCACCTATCTCTAGGGGCGCCTATCTCTATGGGCGCCTATCTCTATGGGCGCCTATCTCTATGGGCGCCTATCTCTATGGGTGCCTATCTCTTTGGGCGCCTATCTCTATGGGCGCCTATCTCTAGGGGCGCCTATCTCTATGGGCGCCTATCTCTATGGGCGCCTATCTCTATGGGCGCCTATCTCTATGGGTGCCTATCTCTTTGGGCGCCTATCTCTATGGGCGCCTATCTCTAGGGGCGCCTATCTCTATGGGCGCCTATCTCTATGGGCGCCTATCTCTATGTGCGCCTATCTCTAGGGGCGCCTATCTCTATGGGCGCCTATCTCTATGGGCGCCTATCTCTAGGGGCGCCTATCTCTATGGGCGTCTATCTCTAGGGGCGCCTATCTCTAGGGGCACATATCTCTATAGGCGCCTATCTCTATGGGCGCCTCTCTTTAGGGGCGCCAATCTCTAGAGGCGCCTATCTCTATGGGCGCCCATCTCCAGGGGCGCCTACCTCTAGGGGCACCTATCTCTAGTGGCGCCTATCTCCAGGGGCGCCTATCTCTAGGGGCGCCTATCTCTAGGGGTGCCTATCTCTAGGGGCGGCTATCTCTAGGGGCGCCTATCTCTATGGGCGCCTATCTCCTGGGGCGCCTATCTCTAGGGGCGCCTATCTCTAGGGGCGCCTATCTCTATGGGCGCCTATCTCTATGGGCGCCTATCTCTATGGGCGCCTATCTCTACGGGCGCCTATCTCTATGGGCGCCTATCACTAAGGGCGCCTATCTCTAGTGGCGCCTATCTCTATGGGCGCCTATCTCTAGGGGCGCCTATCTCTATTGGTGCCTATCTCTATGGGCGCCTATCTCTATGGGCGCCTATCTCTATAGGTGCCTATCTCTTTGGGCGCCTATCTCTATGGGCGCCTATCTCTAGGGGTGCCTATCTCTAGGGGCACCTATCTCTATGGGCGCCTATCTCTATGGGCGCCTATCTCTAGGGGCGCCTATCTCTAGGGGCGCCTATCTCTAGGGGCGCCTATCTCTATGGACGCCTATCTCTATGGGCGCCTATCTCTAGGGGCGCCTATCTCTAGGGGTGCCTATCGCTAGGGGCGGCTATCTCTAGGGGCGGCTATCTCTAGAGCGCCTATCTCTATGGGTGCCTATCTCTTTGGGCGCCTATCTCTATGGGCGCCTATCTCTAGGGGCGCCTATGTCTAGGGGCGCCTGTCTCTAAGGGCGCCTATCTCTATGGGCGCCTATCTCTAGGGGCGCCTATTTTTATTGGCGCCTATCTCTAGGGGCGCCTATCTCTAGGGGCACCTATCTATATGGGCGCCTATCTCCATGGGCGCGTCTCTTTAGGGGTACCAATCTCTAGAGGCACCCATCTCTAGGGGCGGGGTGATGGAAAGCGGGAGAATTGGGCGGGGTGATGGAAAGCGGGAGAATGGAGCGGGGTGGTGGAAAGCGGGAGAATGGGGCGTGGTGATGGAAAGAGGGAGAATGAGGAGGGGTGATGGAAAGAGGGAGAATTGGGCGGGGTGATGGAAAGCGGGAGAATAGAGCGGGGTGATGGAAAGAGGGGAAATGGGGCGGGGTGATGGAAAGCGGGAGAATGGGGCGGGGTGATGGAAAGAGGGAGAATGGGGCGGGGTGATGGAAAGCGGGAGAATGGGGCGGGGTGATGGAAAGCGGGAGAATGGGGCGGGGTGATGGAAAGCGGGAGAATGGGGCGGGGTGATGGAAAGCGGGAGAATGGGGCGGGGTGATGGAAAGAGGGAGAATGGGGCGGTGTGATGGAAAGCGGGAGAACGGGGCGGGGTGATGGAAAGCGGGAGAATGGGGCGGGGTGATGGAAAGTGGGAGAATGGGGCGGGGTGATGGAAATAGGGAAAATGGAGCGGGGTGATAAAAACTTGGAGAATGGGGCGGGGTGATGGAAAGAAGAAGAATGGGGCAGGGTGATGGAAAGCGGGAGAATGGGGCGAGGAGATGGTAAGAGGGAGAATGGGGCGAGTTGATGGAAACAGGGAGAATGGGGCGGGGTGACGGAAAGAGGGAGAGTGGGACGGGGTGATGGAAAGAGGGAGAATGGGGCGGGGAGATGGAAAGAGGGAGAATGGAGAGGGGTGATGGAAAGCGGGAGAATTGGGCGGGGTGATGGAAAGCGGGAGAATGGAGCAGGGTGATGGAAAGCGGGAGAATGGGGTGGGGTGATAGAAAGCGGGAGAATGGGGCGGGGTGATGGAAAGAGGGAGAATAGGGCGGGGTGATGGAAAGCAGGAGAATGGGGCGGGGTAATGGAAAGAGGGAGAATGGGGCGGGGTGATGGAAAGAGGGAGAATGGGGCGGGGTGATGGAAAGCGGGAGAATGGGGCGGGGTGATGGAAAGCGGGAGAACGGGGCGGGGTGATGGAAAGAGGGAGAATGGGGCGGGGTGATGGAAAGCGGGAGAATGGGGCGGGGTGATGGAAAGCGGGAGAATGGGGCGGGGTGATGGAAAGCGGGAGAATGGGGCGGGGTGATGGAAAGGGGGAGAACGGGCGGGGTGATGGAAAGAGGGAGAATGGGGCGGGGTGATGGAAAGCGGGAGAATGGGGCGGGGTGATGGAAAGAGGGAGAATGGGGCGGGGTGATGGAAAGCGGGAGAATGGGTCGGGGTGATGGAAAGAGGGAGAATGGGGCGGGTGATGGAAAGAGGGAGAATGGGGCAGGATGACGGAAATCGGGAGAATGGGGCGGGGTGATGGAAAGAGGGAGAATGGGGCGAGGTGACGGAAATCGGGAGAATGGGGAGGGGTGATGGAAAGAGGGAGAATGGGGCGGGATGATGGAAAGAGGGAGAATGGGGCGGGGTGATGGAAAGAGGGAGAATGGGGCGGGGAGATGGAAAGAGGAAGAATGGGGCGAGGTGATGGAAAGAGGGAGAAGGGTGACGGAAATCGGGAGAATGGGGCGGGGTGATGGATAGAGGGAGAATGGGGCGGGGTGACGGAAATCGGGAGAATGGGGCAGGGTGATGGAAAGAGGGAGAATGGGGCGGGGTGATGGAAAGAGGGAGAATGGGGCGGGGTGATGGAAAGAGGGAGAATGGGGCGGGGAGATGGAAAGAGGAAGAATGGGGCGGGGTGATGGAAAGCGGGAGAATGGGGCGGGGTGATGGAAAGCGGGAGAATGTGTCGGGGTGATGGAAAGAGGGAGAATGGGGCGGGGTGATGGAAAGAGGGAGAATGGGGCAGGATGACGGAAATCGGGAGAATGGGGTGGGGTGATGGAAAGAGGGAGAATGGGGCGCGGTGACGGAAATCGGGAGAATGGGGCGGGGTGATGGGAAGAGGGAGAATGGGGCGGGGTGATGGAAAGAGGGAGAATGGGGCGGGGTGATGGAAAGAGGGAGAATGGGGCGGGAAGATGGAAAGAGGAAGAATGGGGCGGGGTGATGGAAAGAGGAAGAATGGGGCGGGGTGACGGAAATCGGGAGAATGGGGCGGGGTGATGGAAAGAGGGAGAATGGGGCGGGGTGATGGAAAGAGGGAGAATGGGGCGGGGTGATGGAAAGAGGGAGAATGGGGCGGGGAGATGGAAAGAGGAAGAATGGGGCGGGGTGATGGAAAGCGGGAGAATGGGGCGGGGTGATGGAAAGAGGGAGAATGGGACGGGGTGATGGAAAGCGGGAGAATGGGACGGGGTGATGGAAAGCGGGAGAATGGGGCGGGGTGATGGAAAGCGGGAGAATGGGGCGGGGTGATGGAAAGAGGGAGAAGGGGGCGGGGTGATGGAAAGCAGGAGAATGGGGCAGGGTGATGGAAAGCGGGAGAATGGGGCGGGGTGATGGAAAGCGGGAGAACGGGGCGGGGTGATGGAAAGAGGGAGAATGGGGCAGGGTGATGGAAAGCGGGAGAATGGGGCAGGATTATGGAAAGAGGGAGAATGGGGTGGGGTGATGGAAAGCGGGAGAATGGGGCGGGGTGATGGAAAGAGGGAGAATGGGGCGGGGTGATGGAAAGCGGGAGAATGGGGCGGGGTGATGGAAAGCAGGAGAATGGGGCGGGGTTATGGAGAAACGGAGAATGGGGAGGGGTGATGGAAAGAGGGAGAATTGGGCGGGGTGATGGAAAGCGGGACAATGGAGCGGGATGATGGAATACGGTAGAATGGGGCGGGGTGATGGAAAGTGGGAGAATGGGGCGGGGTGATGGAAAGAGGGAGAATGGGGCGGGGTGATGGAAAGCGGGAGAATGGGGCGGGGTGATGGAAAGCGGGAGAATGGGGCGGGGTGATGGAAAGCGGGAGAACGGGGCGGGGTGATGGAAAGTGGGAGAATGGGGCGGGGTGATGGAAAGCGGGAGAATGGGGCGGGGTCATGGAAAGAGGAAGAATGGGGCGGGGTGATGGAAAGCGGGAGAATGGGGCGGGGTGATGGAAAGAGGGAGAATGGGGCGGGGTGATGGAAAGAGGGAGAATGGGGCGGGGTGATGGAAAGCGGGAGAATGGGGCGGGGTTATGGAAAGAGGGAGAATGGGGCGGGGTGATGGAAAGCGGGAGAATGGGGCGGGGTGATGGAAAGAGGGAGAATGGGGCGGGGTGATGGAAAGTGTGAGAATGGGGCGGGGTGATGGAAAGCGGGAGAATGGGCCGAGGTGTTTGAAAGCGGGAGAATGGGGCGGGGTGATGGAAAGCGGGAGAATGGGGCGAGGTGATGGAAAGCGGGAGAATGGGGCGGGGTGATGGAAATCGGGAGAATGGGGCGGGGTGATGGAAAGCGGGAGAATAAGGCGGGGTGATGGAAAGCGAGAGAATGGGTCGGGGTGATGGAAAATGGGAGAATGGGATGGGGTGATGGAAAGTGGGAGAATTGGGCGGGGTGATGGATAGAGGAAGAATGGGGCGGGGTGATGGAAAGCGGGAGAATGGGGCGGGTGATGGAAAGAGGGAGAATGGGGCGGGGTGATGGAAAGCGTGAGAATGGGGCGGGGTGATGGAAATCGGGAGAATGGGGCGGGGTTATGGAAAGAGGGAGAATGGGGCGGGGTGACGGAAATCGGGAGAATGGGGCGGGGTGATGGAAAGAGGGAGAATGGGGCGGGGTGATGGAAAGAGGGAGAATGGGGCGGGGTGATGGAAAGAGGGAGAATGGGGCGGGGAGATGGAAAGATGAAGAATGGGGCGGGGTGATGGAAAGCGGGAGAATGGGGCGGGGTGATGGAAAGAGGGATAATGGGACGGGGTGATGGAAAGCGGTAGAATGGGGCGGGGTGATGGAAAGCGGGAGAATGGGGCGGGGTGATGGAAAGCGGGAGAATGGGGCGGGGTGATGGAAAGAGGGAGAATGGAACGGGGTGATGGAAAGCGGGAGAATGGGTCGGGGTGATGGAAAGAGGGAGAATGGGGCGGGGTGATGGAAAGAGGGAGAATGGGGCGGGGTGACGGAAATCGGGAGAATGGGGCGGGGTGATGGAAAGAGGGAGAATGGGGCGGGGTGATGGAAAGAGGGAGAACGGGGCGGGGTGATGGAAAGAGGGAGAATGGGGCGGGGTGATGGAAAGAGGGAGAATGGGGCGGGGTGATGGAAAGCGGGTGAATGGGGCGGGGTTATGGAAAGAGGGAGAATGGGGCAGGGTGATGGAAAGCGGGAGAATGGGGCGGGGTGATGGGAAGAGGGAGAATGGGGCGGGGTGATGGAAAGCAGGAGAATGGGGCGGGGTGATGGAAAGCGGGAGAATGGGGCGGGGTGATGGAAAGCGGGAGAACGGGGCGGGGTGATGGAAAGAGGGAGAATGGGGCGGGGTGATGGAAAGCGGGTGAATGGGGCGGGGTTATGGAAAGAGGGAGAATGGGGCGGGGTGATGGAAAGCGGGAGAATGGGACGGGGTGAAGGAAAGAGGGAGAATGGGGCGGGGTGATGGAAAGAGGGAGAATGGGGCGGGGTGATGGAAAGCGGGAGAATGGGGCGGGGTGATGGAAAGCGGGAGAATGGGGCGGGGTTATGGAAAAAGGGAGAATGGGGCGGGGTGATGGAAAGAGGGAGAATTGGGTGGGGTGATGGAAAGCGGGACAATGGAGCGGGATGATGAAAAGCGGTAGAATGGGGCGGGGTGATGGAAAGTGGGAGAATGGGGCGGGGTGATGGGAAGAGAGAGAATGGGGCGGGGTGATGGAAAGCGGGAGAATGGGGCGGGGTGATGGAAAGCGGGAGAATGGGGCGGGGTGATGGAAAGCGGGAGAACGGTGCGGGGTGAAGGAAAGAGGGAGAATGGGGCGGGGTGATGGAAAGCGGGAGAATGGGGCAGGGTTATGGAAAGAGGGAGAATGGGGCGGGGTGATGGAAAGCGGGAGAATGGGGCGGGGTGATGGAAAGAGGGAGAATGGGGCGGGGTGATGGAAAGAGGGAGAATGGGGCGGGGTGATGGAAAGCGGGAGAATGGGGCGAGGTTGTGGAAAGAGGGAGAATGGGGCGGGGTGATGGAAAGCGGGAGAATGGGGCGGGGTGATGGAAAGAGGGAGAATGGGGCGGGGTGATGGAAAGAGGGAGAATGGGGCGGGGGATGGAAGGAGGGAGAATGCGGCAGGGTGATGGAAAGCGGTAGAATGGGGCGGGGTGATGGAAAGCGGGAGAATGGGGCGGGGTTATGGAAAAAGGGAGAATGGGGAGGGGTGATGGAAAGAGGGAGAATTGAACGGGGTGATAGAAAGTGGGACAATGGAGCGGGATGATGGAAAGCGGTAGAATGGGGCAGGGTGATAGAAAGCGTGAGAATGGGGCGGGGTGATGGAAAGAGGGAGAATGGGGCGGGGTGATAGAAGGCGGGAGAATGGGGCGGGGTGATGGAAAGAGGGAGAATGGGGCGGGGTGATGAAAGGCGGGAGAATGGGGCGGGGTGATGGAAAGAGGGAGAACGGGGCGGGGTGATGGAAAGCGGGAGAATGGGGTGGGGTGATGGAAAGAGGGAGAATGGGGCGGGGTGATGGAAAGCGGGAGAATGGGGCGGGGTGATGGAAAGAGGGAGAATGGGGCGGGGTGATGGAAAGCGGGAGAATGGGGCGGGGTTATGGAAAGAGGGAGAATGGGGCAGGGTGATGGAAAGCGGGAGAATGGGGCGGGGTGATGGAAAGAGGGAGAATGGGGCGGGGTGATGGAAAGAGGGAGAATGGGGCGGGGTGATGGAAAGCGGGACAATGGAGCGGGGTGATGGAAAGCGGGAGAATGGGGCAGGGTGATGGAAAGCGGGAGAATGGGGCGGGGTGATGGAAAGAGGGAAAATGGCGCGGGGTGATGGAAAGCGGGAGAATGGGGCGGGGTGATGGAAAGAGGGAGAATGGGGCGGGGTGATGGAAAGCGGGAGAATGGGCCGGGGTGATGGAAAGCGGGAGAATGGGGCGGGGTGATGGAAAGCGGGAGAATGGGGCGGGGTGATGGAAAGCGGGAGAATGGGGAGGGGTGATGGAAAGCAGGAGAATGGGGCGGGGTGATGGAAAGCGGGAGAATGGTGTGGGGTGATGGAAGGAGGGAGAATCGGGCGGGGTGATGGAAAGCGGGAGAATGGGGCGGGGTGATAAAAAGCGGGAGAATGGGGCGAGGTGATGGAAAGCGGGAGAATGGGGCGGGGTTATGGAAAGCGGGAGCATGGGGCGGGGTGATAAAAAGTGGGAGAATGGGGCAAGGTGATGGAAAGCGGGAGAATGGGGCAGGGTGATGCAAGGAGGAAGAATGGGGACGGGTGATAGAAAGCGAGAGAATGGGGCGGGTTGATGGGAAGCGGGAGAATGGGGCGGGGTGATGGAAAGCAGGAGAATGGGGCGGGGTGAGGGAAAGCGGAGAATGGGGCGGGGTGATGGAAAGCGGGAGAATGGGGCGGGGTGATGGAAAGCGGGAGAATGGGGCGGGATGATGGAAAGCGGGAGAATGGGGAGGGGTGATGGAAAGCGGGAGAATGGTGTGGGGTGATGGAAGGAGGGAGAATCGGGCGGGGTGATGGAAAGCGGGAGAATGGGGCGGGGTGATAAAAAGCGGGAGAATGGGGCGAGGTGATGGAAAGCGGGAGAATGGGGCGGGGTGATGGAAAGCGGGAGAATGGGGCGGGGTGATGGAAGGAGGGAGAATGGGGACGGGTGATAGAAAGCGGGAGAATGGGGCGGGGTGATGGAAAGCGGGAGAATGGGGCGGGATGATGGAAAGCGGGAGAATGGGGAGGGGTGATGGAAAGCAGGAGAATGGGGCGGGGTGATGGAAAGCGGGAGAATGGTGTGGGGTGATGGAAGGAGGGAGAATCGGGCGGGGTGATGGAAAGCGGGAGAATGGGGCGGGGTGATAAAAAGCGGGAGAATGGGGCGAGGTGATGGAAAGCGGGAGAATGGGGCGGGGTGATGGAAAGCGGGAGAATGGGGCGGGGTGATGGAAGGAGGGAGAATGGGGACGGGTGATAGAAAGCGGGAGAATGGGGCGGGGTGATGGAAGGAGGGAGAGGTGATGGAAAGCGGGGGAACGGGGCGGGATGATGGGAAGCGGGAGAATGAGGCGGGGTGATGGAAAGCGGGAGAATGGGGCAGGGTGATGGAAACCGGGAGAATGGGGCGGGGTGATGGAAAGCGGGAGAATGGGGCGGGGTGATGGAAAGCGGGAGAATGGGGCGGGCTGATGTAAAGAGGGAGAATGGGGCGGGGTGATGGAAGGAGGGAGAATGGGGCGGGGTGATGGAAGGAGGGAGAATGGGGCGTGGTGATGGAAGGAGGGAGAATGGGGCGGGGTGATGGATAGCGGGAGAATGGGTCGAGGTGATGGAAAGCGGGAGAATGGGGCAGGGTGATGGAAAGCTGGAGAACGGGGCAGGGTGATGGAAAGCGGGAGAATGGGGCAGGGTGATGGAAAGCGGGAGAATGGGGTGGGGTGATGGAAAGCGGGAGAATGGGGCGGGGTGATGGAAAGTGGGAGAATGGGGCGGGGTGATGGAAAGAGGGAAAATGGGGCGGGGTGAGGGAAAGCGGGAGAATGGGCCGGGGTGATGGAAAGCGGGAGAATGGGGCGGGGTGATGGAAAGCGGGAGAATGGGGCGGGGTGATGGAAAGCGGGAGAATGGGGAGGGGTGATGGAAAGCAGGAGAATGGGGCGGGGTGATGGAAAGCGGGAGAATGGTGTGTGGTGATGGAAGGAGGGAGAATCGGGCGGGGTGATGGAAAGCGGGAGAATGGGGCGGGGTGATAAAAAGCGGGAGAATGGGGCGAGGTAATGGAAAGCGGGAGAATGGGGCGGGGTGATGGAAAGCGGGAGAATGGGGCGGGGTGATGGAAGGAGGGAGAATGGGGACGGGTGATAGAAAGCGGGAGAATGGGGCGGGGTGATGGAAGGAGGGAGAGGTGATGGAAAGCGGGGGAATGGGGCGGGATGATGGGAAGCGGGAGAATGAGGCGGGGTGATGGAAGGCGGGAGAATGGGGCAGGGTGATGGAAACCGGGAGAATGGGGCGGGGTGAAGGAAAGCGGGAGAATGGGGCGGGGTGATGGAAAGTGGGAGAATGGGGCGGGGTGATGGAAAGCGGGTGAATGGGGCCGGGTGATGGAAATCGGGAGAATGCGGCGGGGTGATGGAAAGCGGGAGAATGGGGCGGGGTGATGGAAAGCGGGAGAATGGGGCGGGCTGATGTAAAGCGGGAGAATGGGGCACGGTGATGGAAGGAGGGAGAATGGGGCGGGGTGATGGAAGGAGGGAGAATGGGGCGGGGTGATGGAAGGAGGGAGAATGGGGCGTGGTGATGGAAGGAGGGAGAATGGGGCGGGGTGATGGATAGCGGTAGAATGGGGCGGGGTGATGGAAAGCGGGAGAATGGGGCGGGGTGATGGAAAGAGGGAGAATGGGGCGGGGGATGGAAGGAGGGAGAATGCGGCAGGGTGATGGAAAGCGGTAGAATGGGGCGGGGTGATGGAAAGCGGGAGAATGGGGCTGGGTTATGGAAAAAGGGAGAATAGGGAGGGGTGATGGAAAGAGGGAGAATTGGGCGGGTTGATAGAAAGTGGGACAATGGAGCGGGATGATGGAAAGCGGTAGAATGGGGCGGGGTGATGGAAAGCGGGAGAATGGGGCGGGGTGATGGAAAGAGGGAGAATGGGGCGGGGTGATGGAAAGCGGGAGAATGGGGCGGGGTGATGGAAAGCGGGAGAATGGGGCGGGGCGATGGAAAGCGGGAGAACGGGGCGGGGTGATGGAAAGAGGGAGAATGGGGCGGGGTGATGGAAAGCGGGAGAATGGGGCGGGGTTATGGAAAGAGGGAGAATGGGGCGAGGTGATGGAAAGCGGGAGAATGGGGCGGGGTGATGGAAAGAGGGAGAATGGGGCGGGGTGATGGAAAGAGGGAGAATGGGGCGGGGTGATGGAAAGCGGGAGAATGGGGCGGGGTTATGGAAAGAGGGAGAATGGGACGGGGTGATGGAAAGCGGGAGAATGGGGCGGGGTGATGGAAAGAGGGAGAATGGGGCGGGGTGATGGAATGAGTGAGAATGGGGTGGGGTGATGGAAAGCGGGAGAATGGGGCGAGGTGTTGGAAAGCGGGAGAATGGGGCGGGGTGATGGAAAGCGGGAGAATGGGGCGAGGTGATGGAAAGCGAGAGAATGGGGCGGGGTGATGGAAATCGGGAGAACGGGGCGGGGTGATGGAAAGCGGGAGAATAAGGCGGGGTGATGGAAAGCGAGAGAATGGGGCGGGGTGATGGAAAACGGGAGAATGGGACGGGGTGATGGAAAGTGGGAGAATTGGGCGGGGTGATGGAAAGCGGGAGAATTGGGCGGGGTGATGGAAGGAGGGAGAATGGGGCGGGGTCATGGAAGGAGGGAGAATGGGGCGGGGTGATGGAAAGCGGGAGAATGGGGTGGGGTGATGGAAAGCGGGAGAATGGGGAGGGGTGATGGAAAGCAGGAGAATGGGGCGGGGAAAGCAGGAGAATGGGGCGGGGTGATGGAAAGCGGGAGAATGGTGTGGGGTGATGGAAGGAGGGAGAATCAGGCGGGGTGATGGAAAGCGGGAGAATGGGGCGGGGTGATAAAAAGCGGGAAAATGGGGCGAGGTGATGGAAAGCGGGAGAATGGGGCGGGGTGATGGGAAGCCGGAGAATGGGGCGGGGTGATGGAAGGAGGGAGAATGGGGACAGGTGATAGAAAGCGGGAGAATGGGGCGGGTTGATGGGAAGCGGGAGAATGGGGCGCGGTTATGGAAAGCTGGAGAATGGGTCGGGGTGAGGGAAAGCGGGAGAATGGGGAGGGGTGATGGAAAGCGGGAGAATGGGGCGGGGTGATGGAAAGCGGGAGAATGGGGCGGGGTGATGGAAAGCGGGAGAATGGGGAGGGGTGATGGAAAGCAGGAGAATGGGGCGGGGTGATGGAAAGCGGGAGAATGGTGTGGGGTGATGGAAGGAGGGAGAATCGGGCGCGGTGATGGAAAGCGGGACAATGTGGCGGGGTGATAAAAAGCGGGAGAATGGGGCGAGGTGATGGAAAGCGGGAGAATGGGGCGGGGTGACGGAAGGAGGGAGAATGGGGCGGGGTGACGGAAGGAGGGAGAATGAGACGGATGATAGAAAGCGGGAGAATGGGGCGGGTTGATGGTAAGCGGGAGAATGGGGCGGGGTGATGGAAAGCTGGAGAATGGGGCGGGGTGAGGGAAAGCGGGAGAATGGGGCGGGATGAAGGAAAGCGGGAGAATGGGGCGGGGTGATGGAAAGCGGGAGAATGGGGCGTGGTGATGGAAAGCGGGAGAATGGGGCGGGGTGATGGAAAGCGGGAGAATGGGGCGGGGTGATGGAAAGCGAAAGAATGGGGCGGGCTGATGTAAAGCGGGAGAACGGGGCGGGGTAATGGAAGGAGGGAGAATGGGGCGGGGTGATGGAAGGAGGGAGAATGGGCGGGGTGATGGAAGGCGGGAGAATGGGGCGGGGTGATGGAAGGAGGGAGAATGGGGCAAGGTGATGGATAGCGGGAGAATGGGGCAAGGTGATGGAAAGCGGGAGAATGGGGCAGGGTGATGGAAAGCTGGAGAACGGGGCAGGGTGATGGAAAGCGGGAGAATGGGGCAGGGTGATGGAAAGCGGGAGAATGGGGTGGGGTGATGGAAAGCGGGAGAATGGGGCGGGGTGATGGAAAGCGGGATAATGGGGCGGGGTAATGGAAGGAGGGAGAATGAGGTGGGGTGATGGAAGGAGGGAGAATGGGGCGGGGTGATGGAAGGAGGGAGAATGGGGCGGGGTGATTGAAAGCGGGAGAATGGGGTGGGGTGATGGAAAGCGGGTGAATGGGGCGGGGTGATGGAAAGCGGAAGAATGGGGCGGGTGATAGAAAGCGGGAGAATGGGGCGAGGTGATGGAAAGCGGGAGAATGCGGCGGGGTGATGGAAAGCGGGAGAATGGGGCGGGGTGATGGAAGGAGGGAGAGGTGATGGAAAGCGGGGGAATGGGGCGGGATGATGGGAAGCGGGAGAATGAGGCGGGGTGATGGAAAGCGGGAGAATGGGGCGGGGTGATGGAAAGCGGGAGAATGGGGCGGGGTGATGGAAAGCGGGAGAATAGGGCGGGGTGATGGAAAGCGGGAGATTGGGGCGGGGTGATGGAAAGCGGGGGAATGGGGCTGGGTGATGGAAAGCAGGAGAATGGGGCGGGGTGATGGAAAGCGGGAGAATGGGGCGGGGTGATGGAAGGAGGGAGAATGGGGCGGGGTGATGGAAAGCGGGAGATTGGGGCAGGGTGATGGAAAGCGGGAGAATGGGGCGGGGTGATGGAAAGCGGGAAAATGGGGCGGGGTGATGGAAAGCGGGGGAATGGGGCTGGGTGATGGAAAGCGGGAGAATGGGGCGAGGTGATGGAAAGCGGGAGAAAGGGGCGGGGTGATGGAAGGAGGGAGAATGAGGCGGGGTGATGGAAAGCGGGAGAATGGGGCGGGGTGATGGAAAGCGGGAGAATGGGGCGGGGTGATGGAAAGCAAGAGAATGGGGCGGGGTGATGGAAGGAGGGAGAATGGGGAGGGGTGATGGAAAGCGGGGGAATGGGGCGGGATGATGGGAAGCGGAAGAATGGGGCGGGGTGATGGAAAGCGGGAGAATGGGGCGGGGTGATGGAAAGCGGGAGAATGGGGCGGGGAGATGGAAAGCGGGAGAATGGGGCGGGGTGATGGAAAGCGGGAGAATGGGGCGGGCTGATGGAAAGCGGGAGAATGGGGCGGGGTGATGGAAGGAGGGAGAATGGGGCGGGGTGATGGAAGGAGAGAGAAGGGGGCGGGGTGATGGAAAGTGGGAGAATGTGGCGGGGTGATGGAAAGCGGGAGAAAGGGGCGGGGTGATGGAAAGCGGGAGAATAGGGCGAGGTGATGGAAGGAGGGAGAATGGGGCGGGGTGATAGAAAGCGGGAGAATGTGGCGGGGTGATGGAAAGCGGGAGAATGGGGTGGGGTTATGGGAAGCGGGAGAATGGGGCGGGGTGATGGAAAGCGGGAGAATGGGGCGGGGTGATGGAAGGAGGGAGAATGGGGCGGGGTGATGGAAGGAGGGAGAATGGGGCGGGGTGATGGAAAGCGGGAGAATGGGGCGGGGTGATGGAAGGAGGGAGAATGGGGCGGGGTGATGTAAGGAGGGAGAATGGGGTGGGGTGATGGAAAGCGGGAGAATGGGGCGGGGTGATGGAAAGCGGGAGAATGGGGCTGGGTGATGGAAAGCAGGAGAATGGGGCGGGGTGATGGAAAGCGGGAGAATGGGGCGGGGTGATGGAAGGAGGGAGAATGGGGCGGGGTGATGGAAAGTGGGAGATTGGGGCAGGGTGATGGAAAGCGGGAGAATGGGGCGGGGTGATGGAAAGCGGGAAAATGGGGCGGGGTGATGGAAAGCGGGGGAATGGGGCTGGGTGATGGAAAGCGGGAGAATGGGGCGAGGTGATGGAAAGCGGGAGAAAGGGGCGGGGTGATGGAAGGAGGGAGAATGAGGCGGGGTGATAGAAAGCGGGAGAATGTGGCGGGGTGATGGAAAGCGGGAGAATGGGGTGGGGTTATGGGAAGCGGGAGAATGGGGCGGGGTGATGGAAAGCGGGAGAATGGGGCGGGGTGATGGAAGGAGGGAGAATGGGGCGGGGTGATGGAAGGAGGGAGAATGGGGCAGGGTGATGGAAGGAGAGAGAAGGGGGCGGGGTGATGGAAAGTGGGAGAATGTGGCGGGGTGATGGAAAGCGGGAGAATGGGGCGGGGTGATGGAAAGCGGGAGAATGGGGCGGGGTGATGGAAGGAGGGAGAATGGGGCGGGGTGATAGAAAGCGGGAGAATGTGGCGGGGTGATGGAAAGCAGGAGAATGGGGTGGGGTTATGGGAAGCGGGAGAATGGGGCGGGGTGATGGAAAGCGGGAGAATGGGGCGGGGTGATGGAAGGAGGGAGAATGGGGCGGGGTGATGGAAGGAGGGAGAATGGGGCAGGGTGATGGAAAGCGGGAGAATGGGGCGGGGTGATGGAAGGAGGGAGAATGGGGCGGGGTGATGGAAAGCGGGAGAAAGGGGCGGCGTGATGGAAGAAGGGAGAATGAGGCGGGGTGATAGAAAGCGGGAGAATGTGGCGGGGTGATGGAAAGCGGGAGAATGGGGTGGGGTTATGGGAAGCGGGAGAATGGGGCGGGGTGATGGAAAGCGGGAGAATGGGGCGGGGTGATGGAAGGAGGGAGAATGGGGTGGGGTGATGGAAGGAGGGAGAATGGGGCAGGGTGATGGAAGGAGAGAGAAGGGGGCGGGGTGATGGAAAGTGGGAGAATGTGGCGGGGTGATGGAAAGCGGGAGAATGGGGCGGGGTGATGGAAAGCGGGAGAAAGGGCGGGGTGATGGAAGGAGGGAGAATGGGGCGGGGTGATAGAAAGCGGGAGAATGTGGCGGGGTGATGGAAAGCGGGAGAATGGGGTGCGGTTATGGGAAGCGGGAGAATGGGGCGGGGTGATGGAAAGCGGGAGAATGGGGCGGGGTGATGGAAGGAGGGAGAATGGGGCGGGGTGATGGAAGGAGGGAGAATGGGGCAGGGTGATGGAAAGCGGGAGAATGGGCCGGGGTGATGGAAGGAGGGAGAATGGGGCGGGGTGATGTAAGGAGGGAGAATGGGGTGGCGTGATGGAAAGTGGGAGAATGGGGCGGGGTGATGGAAAGCGGGAGAATGGGGCTGGGTGATGGAAAGCAGGAGAATGGGGCGGGGTGATGGAAAGCGGGAGAATGGGGCGGGGTGATGGAAGGAGGGAGAATGGGGCGGGGTGATGGAAAGCGGGAGAATGGGGCGGGGTGATGGAAAGCGGGAGAATGGGGCGGGGTGATGGAAAGCAAGAGAATGGGGCGGGGTGATGGAAGGAGGGAGAATGGGGAGGGGTGATGGAAAGCGGGGGAATGGGGCGGGATGATGGGAAGCGGAAGAATGGGGCGGGGTGATGGAAAGCGGGAGAATGGGGCGGGGTGATGGAAAGCGGAAGAATGGGGCGGGGAGATGGAAAGCGGGAGAGTGGGGCGGGGTGATGGAAAGCGGGAGAATGGGGCGGGCTGATGGAAAGCGGGAGAATGGGGCGGGGTGATGGAAGGAGGGAGAATGGGGCGGGGTGATGGAAGGAGAGAGAAGGGGGCGGGGTGATGGAAAGTGGGAGAATGTGGCGGGGTGATGGAAAGCGGGAGAATGGGGCGGGGTGATGGAAAGCGGGAGAATGGGGCGGGGTGATGGAAGGAGGGAGAATGGGGCGGGGTGATAGAAAGCGGGAGAATGTGGCGGGGTGATGGAAAGCGGGAGAATGGGGTTGGGTTATGGGAAGCGGGAGAATGGGGCGGGGTGATGGAAAGCGGGAGAATGGGGCGGGGTGATGGAAGGAGGGAGAATGGGGCGGGGTGATGGAAGGAGGGAGAATGGTGCAGGGTGATGGAAAGCGGGAGAATGGGGAGGGGTGATGGAAGGAGGGAGAATGGGGCGGGGTGATGTAAGGAGGGAGAATGGGGTGGGGTGATGGAAAGTGGGAGAATGGGGCGGGGTGATGGAAAGCGGGAGAATGGGGCTGGGTGATGGAAAGCAGGAGAATGGGGCGGGGTGATGGAAAGCGGGAGAATGGGGCGGGGTGATGGAAGGAGGGAGAATGGGGCGGGGTGATGGAAAGCGGGAGAATGGGGCGGGGTGATGGACAGCGGGAGAATGGGGCGGGGTGATGGAAAGCAAGAGAATGGGGCGGGGTGATGGAAGGAGGGAGAATGGGGAGGGGTGATGGAAAGCGGGGGAATGGGGCGGGATGATGGGAAGCGGAAGAATGGGGCGGGGTGATGGAAAGCGGGAGAATGGGGCGGGGTGATGGAAAGCGGAAGAATGGGGCGGGGAGATGGAAAGCGGGAGAATGGGGCGGGGTGATGGAAAGCGGGAGAATGGGGCAGGCTGATGGAAAGCGGGAGAATGGGGCGGGGTGATGGAAGGAGGGAGAATGGGGCGGGGTGATGGAAGGAGAGAGAAGGGGGCGGGGTGATGGAAAGTGGGAGAATGTGGCGGGGTGATGGAAAGCGGGAGAATGGGGCGGGGTGATGGAAAGCGGGAGAATGGGGCGGGGTGATGGAAGGAGGGAGAATGGGGCGGGGTGATAGAAAGCGGGAGAATGTGGCGGGGTGATGGAAAGCGGGAGAATGGGGTGGGGTTATGGGAAGCGGGAGAATGGGGCGGGGTGATGGAAAGCGGGAGAATGGGGCGGGGTGATGGAAGGAGGGAGAATGGGGCGGGGTGATGGAAGGAGGGAGAATGGGGCGGGGTGATGGAAAGCGGGAGAATGGGGCGGGGTGATGGAAAGCGGGAGAATGGGGCGGGGTGATGGAAGGAGGGAGAATGGGGCGGGGTGATAGAAAGCGGGAGAATGTGGCGGGGTGATGGAAAGCGGGAGAATGGGGTGGGGTTATGGGAAGCGGGAGAATGGGGCGGGGTGATGGAAAGCGGGAGAATGGGGCGGGGTGATGGAAGGAGGGAGAATGGGGCGGGGTGATGGAAGGAGGGAGAATGGGGCGGGGTGATGGAAAGCGGGAGAATGGGGCGGGGTGATGGAAGGAGGGAGAATGGGGCGGGGTGATGTAAGGAGGGAGAATGGGGTGGGGTGATGGAAAGCGGGAGAATGGGGCGGGGTGATGGAAAGCGGGAGAATGGGGCTGGGTGATGGAAAGCAGGAGAATGGGGCGGGGTGATGGAAAGCGGGAGAATGGGGCGGGGTGATGGAAGGAGGGAGAATGGGGCGGGGTGATGGAAAGCGGGAGATTGGGGCAGGGTGATGGAAAGCGGGAGAATGGGGCGGGGTGATGGAAAGCGGGAAAATGGGGCGGGGTGATGGAAAGCGGGAGAATGGGGCTGGGTGATGGAAAGCGGGAGAATGGGGCGAGGTGATGGAAAGCGGGAGAAAGGGGCGGGGTGATGGAAGGAGGGAGAATGAGGCGGGGTGATGGAAGGAGGGAGAATGGGGTGGGGTGATGGAAAGTGGGAGAATGGGTTGGGGTGATGGAAAGCGGGAGAATGGGTCGGAGTGATGGAAAGCGGGAGAATGGGGCGGGGTGATGGAAAGCGGGAGAATGGGGCGGGGTGATGGAAAGCGGGAGAATGGAGCGGGGTGATGGAAAGCGGGACAATGGGGCGGGTAATGGAAAGCGGGTGAATGGGGCAGGGTGATGGAAAGCGGGAGAATGAGGCGGGATGATGGAAAGCAAAAGAATGGGGCGGGGTGATGGAAAGCGGGAGAATTGGGCGAGGTGAAGGAAAGCGGGAGAATGGGGCGGGTGATGGAAAGCGGAAGAATGGGGCGGGGTGATGGAAGGAGGGAGAATGGGGCGGGGTGATGGAAGGAGAGAGAAGGGGGCGGGGTGATGGAAAGTGGGAAAATGTGGCGGGGTGATGGAAAGCGGGAGAAAGGGGTGGGGTTATGGGAAGCGGGAGAATGGGGCGGGGTGATGGAAAGCGGGAGAATGGGGCGGGGTAATGGAATGAGGGAGAATGGGGCGGGGTGATGGAAGAAAGGAGAATGGGGCGGGGTGATGGAAAGCGGGAGAATGGGGCGGGGTGATGGAAGGAGGGAGAATGGGGCGGGGTGATGGAAAGCGGGAGAATGGGGCGGCGTGATGGAAAGCGGGAGAATGGGGCGGGGTGATGGAAAGCGAGAGAATGGGGTAGGGTGATGGAAGGAGGGAGAATGGGGAGGGGTGATGGAAAGCGGGGGAATGGGGCGGGATGATGGGAAGCGGAAGAATGGGGCGGGGTGATGGAAAGCGGGAGAATGGGGCGGGGTGATGGAAAGCGGGAGAATGGGGCGGGGTGATGGAAGGAGGGAGAATGGGGCGGGCTGATGGAAAGCGGGAGAATGGGGCGGAGTGATGGAAAGCGGGAGAATGGGGCGGGGTGATGGAAGGAGGGAGAATGGGGCGGGATGATGGAAAGCGGGAGAATGTGGCGGGGTGATGGAAAGCGGGAGAATGGGGTGGGGTTATGGGAAGCAGGAGATTGGGGCGGGGTGATGGAAAGCGGGAGAATGGGGCGGGGTGATGGAAGGAGGGAGTATGGGGCGGGGTGATGGAAGGAGGGAGAATGGGGCGGAGTGATGGAAAGCGGGAGAATGGGGCGGGGTGATGGAAGGAGGGAGAATGGGGCGGGGTGATGGAAGGAGGGAGAATGGGGCAGGGTGATGGAAGGAGGGAGAATGGGGTGGGGTGATGGAAAGCGGGAGAATGGGGCGGGGTGATGGAAAGCAGAAGAATGGGGCGGGGTGATGGAAAGCGGGAGAATGGGGCGGGGTGATGGAAAGCGGGAGAATGGGGCGGGGTGATGGAAAGCGGGAGAATGGGGCGGGATGATGGAAAGCGGGAGAATGTGGCGGGGTGATGGAAAGCGGGAGAATGGGGTGGGGTTATGGGAAGCAGGAGATTGGGGCGGGGTGATGGAAATCGGGAGAATGGGGCGGGGTGATGGAAAGCGGGAGAATGGGGCGGGCTGATGGAAAGCGGGAGAATGGGGCGGGGTGATGGAAGGAGGGAGAATGGGGCGGGGTGATGGAAGGAGAGAGAAGGGGGCGGGGTGATGGAAAGTGGGAGAATGTGGCGGGGTGATGGAAAGCGGGAGACTGGGGCGGGGTGATGGAAAGCGGGAGAATGGGGCGGGGTGATGGAAGGAGGGAGAATGGGGCGGGGTGATAGAAAGCGGGAGAATGTGGCGGGGTGATGGAAAGCGGGAGAATGGGGTGGGGTTATGGGAAGCGGGAGAATGGGGCGGGGTGATGGAAAGCGGGAGAATGGGGCGGGGTGATGGAAGGAGGGAGAATGGGGCGGGGTGATGGAAGGAGGGAGAATGGGGCGGGGTGATGGAAAGCGGGAGAATGGGGCGGGGTGATGGAAGGAGGGAGAATGGGGCGGGGTGATGTAAAGAGGGAGAATGGGGTGGGGTGATGGAAAGCGGGAGAATGGGGCGGGGTGATGGAAAGCGGGAGAATGGGGCTGGGTGATGGAAAGCAGGAGAATGGGGCGGGGTGATGGAAAGCGGGAGAATGGGGCGGGGTGATGGAAGGAGGGAGAATGGGGCGGGGTGATGGAAAGCGGGAGATTGGGGCAGGGTGATGGAAAGCGGGAGAATGGGGCGGGGTGATGGAAAGCGGGAAAATGGGGCGGGGTGATGGAAAGCGGGATAATGGGGCTGGGTGATGGAAAGCGGGAGAATGGGGCGAGGTGATGGAAAGCGGGAGAAAGGGGCGGGGTGATGGAAGGAGGGAGAATGAGGCGGGGTGATGGAAGGAGGGAGAATGGGGCGGGGTGATGGAAAGTGGGAGAATGGGTTGGGGTGATGGAAAGCGGGAGAATCGGTCGGAGTGATGGAAAGCGGGAGAATGGGGTGGGGTGATGGAAAGCGGGAGAATGGGGCGGGGTGATGGAAAGCGGGAGAATGGAGCGGGGTGATGGAAAGCGGGACAATGGGGCGGGGTGATGGAAAGCGGGAGAATGGGGCGGGTAATGGAAAGCGGGTGAATGGGGCAGGGTGATGGAAAGCGGGAGAATGGGGCGGGATGATGGAAAGCAAAAGAATGGGTCGGGGTGATGGAAAGCGGGAGAATTGGGCGAGGTGAAGGAAAGCGGGAGAATGGGGCGGGTGATGGAAAGCGGAAGAATGGGGCGGGGTGATGGAAGGAGGGAGAATGGGGCGGGGTGATGGAAGGAGAGAGAAGGGGGCGGGGTGATGGAAAGTGGGAAAATGTGGCGGGGTGATGGAAAGCGGGAGAATGGGGAGGGGTGATGGAAAGCGGGGGAATGGGGCGGGATGATGGGAAGCGGAAGAATGGGGCGGGTTGATGGAAAGCGGGAGAATGGGCGGGGTGATGGAAAGCGGGAGAATGGGGCGGGGTGATGGAAAGCGGGAGAATGGGGCGGGGTGATGGAAAGCGGGAGAATGGGGCGGGGTGATGGAAAGCGGGAGAATGGGGCGGGGTGATGGAAGGAGGGAGAATGGGGCGGGCTGATGGAAAGCGGGAGAATGGGGCGGAGTGATGGAAAGCGGGAGAATGGGGCGGGGTGATGGAAGGAGGGAGAATGGGGCGGGATGATGGAAAGCGGGAGAATGTGGCGGGGTGATGGAAAGCGGGAGAATGGGGTGGGGTTATGGGAAGCAGGAGATTGGGGCGGGGTGATGGAAAGCGGGAGAATGGGGCGGGGTGATGGAAGGAGGGAGAATGGGGCGGGGTGATGGAAGGAGGGAGAATGGGGCGGAGTGATGGAAAGCGGGAGAATGGGGCGGGGTGATGGAAGGAGGGAGAATGGGGCGGGATGATGGAAAGTGGGAGAATGGGGCGGGGTGATGGAAATCGGGAGAATGGGGCAGGGTGGTGGAAAGCGGGAGAATGGGGCGGGGTGATAGAAGGAGGGAGAATGGGGCGGGGTGATAGAAAGCGGGAGAATGTGGTGGGGTGATGGAAAGCGGGAGAATGGGGCGGGGTGATGGAAGGAGGGAGAATGGGGCAGGGTGATGGAAGGAGGGAGAATGGGGTGGGGTGATGGAAAGCGGGAGAATGGGGCGGGGTGATGGAAAGCAGAAGAATGGGGCGGGGTGATGGAAAGCGGGAGAATGGGGCGAGGTGATGGAAAGCGGGAGAATGGGGCGGGTGATGGAAAGCGGAAGAATGGGGCGGGGTGATGGAAGGAGGGAGAATGGGGCGGGATGATGGAAAGCGGGAGAATCGGGCGGGGAGATGGAAAGCAGGAGAAAGGGGCGGGATGATGGAAAGCGGGAGAATGGGGCGGGCTGATGGAAAGCGGGAGAATGGGGCGGGGTGATGGAAGGAGGGAGAATGGGGCGGGGTGATGGAAGGAGAGAGAAGGGGGCGGGGTGATGGAAAGCAGGAGAATGGGGTGGGGTTATGGGAAGCGGGAGAATGGGGCTGGGTGATGGAAAGCGGGAGAATGGGGCGGGGTGATGGAATGAGGGAGAATGGGGCGAGGTGATGGAAGGAGGGAGAATGGGGCGGGGTGATGGAAAGCGGGAGAATGGGGCGGGGTGATGGAAGGAGGGAGAATGGGGCGGGGTGATGGAAAGCGGGAGAATGGGGCGGCGTGATGGAAAGCGGGAGAATGGGGCGGGGTGATGGAAAGCGAGAGAATGGGGCGGGGTGATTGAAGGAGGGAGAATGGGGAGGGGTGATGGAAAGCGGGGGAATGGGGCGAGATGATGGGAAGCGGAAGAATGGGGCGGGGTGATGGAAAGCGGGAGAATGAGGCGGGGAGATGGAAAGCGGGAGAAAGGGGAGGGGTGATGGAAAGCGGGAAAATGGGGCGGGGTGATGGAAGGAGGGAGAATGGGGAGGGGTGATCGAAGGAGAGAGAAGGGGGCGTGGTGATGGAAAGTGGGAGAATGTGGCGGGGTGATGGAAAGCGGGAGAATGGGGTGGGGTTATGGGAAGTGGGAGAATGAGGCGGGGTGATGGAAAGCAGGAGAATGGGGCGGGGTGATGGAAGGAGGGAGAATGGGGCGGGGTGATGGAAGGAGGGATAATGGGGCAGAGTGATGGAAAGCGGGAAAATGGGGCGGGGTGATGGAAAGCGGGAGAATGGGTAGGGGTGATGGAAAGCGAGAGAATCGGGCGGGGTGATGGAAGGAGGGAGAATGGGGAGGGGTGATGGAAAGCGGGGGAATGGGGCAGAATGATGGGAAGCGGAAGAATGGAGCGGGGTGATGGAAGGAGGGAGAATGGGGCGGGATGATGGAAAGCGGGAGAATGGGGCGGGGTGATGGAAAGCGGGAGAACGGGGCGGGGTGATGGAAATCGGGAGAATGGGGCGGGGTGATGGAAAGCGGGAGAATGGGGCGGGGTGATGGAAGGAGGGAGAATAGGGCGGGGTGATAGAAAGCGGGAGAATGTGGCGGGGTGATGGAAAGCGGGGAGAATGGGGTCAGGTTATGGGAAGCGGGAGAATGGGGCGGGGTGATGGAAAGCGGGAGAATGGGGCGGGGTGATGGAAGGAGGGAGAATGGGGCGGGGAGATGGAAGGAGGGAGAATGGGGCGGAGTGATGGAAAGGGGGAGAATGGGGCGGGGTGATGGAAGGTGGAAGAATGGGGCGGGGTGATGGAAGGAGGGAGAATGGGGCGGGATGATGGAAAGCGGGAGAATGTGGCGGGTTGATGGAAGGAGGGAGAATGGGGCGGGGTGATGGAAAGCGGGAGAATGGGGCGGGGTGGTGGAATGCGGGAGAATGGGGCGGGATGACGGAAAGCGGGAGAATGGGGCGGGGTGATGGAAAGCGGGAGAATGGGGCGGGGTGATGGAAGGAGGGAGAATTGGGTGGGGTGATGGAAAGAGGGAGACTGGCGCAGGGTGATGGAAAGAGGGAGAATGGGGCGGGGTGATGGAAAGCGGGAGAATGGGGCGGGGTGACGGAAAGCGGGAGAATGGGGCGGGGTGATGGAAAGTGGGAGAATTGAGCGGGGTGATGGAAATAGGGAGAATGGGCCGGGGTGATGGAAAGCGGGAGAATGGGGCGGGGTGGTGGAAAGAAGGAGAATGGGGCGGGGTGATGAAAAGAGGGAGAATGGGACGGGGTGATGGAAAGCGGGAGAATGGGGCGGGGTGATGGAAAGCGGGAGAATAGGGCGGGGTGATGGAAAGCGGGAGAATGGGCCGGGGTGATGGAAGGCGGGAGAATGGGGCGGGGTGATGGAAAGTGGGAGAATGGAGCGGGGTGATGGAAAGCGGGAGAATGGGGCGGGGTGATGGAGAGCGGGAGCGGGCTGGTAGAAAGCGGGTGAATGGGGCAGGGTGATGGAAAGCGGGAGAATGGGGCGGGGTGATGGAAAGCAAAAGAATGGGGCGGGGTGATGGAAAGCGGGAGAATGGGGCGAGGTGACGGAAAGCGGGAGAATGGGGCGGGTGATGGAAAGCGGAAGAATGGGGCGGGGTGATGGAAGGAGGGAGAATGGGGAGGGGTGATGGAAAGCGGTGGAATGGGGCGGGATGATGGGAAGCGGAAGAATGGGGCTGGCTGATGGAAAGCGGGAGAATGGGGCGGGGTGATGGAAAGCGGGAGAATGGGGCGGGAAGATGGAAAGCGGGAGAAAGGGGCGGGGTGATGGAAAGCGGGAGAATGGGGCGGGCTGATGGAAAGCGGGAGAATGGGGCGGGGTGATGGAAGGAGGGAGAATGGGGCGGGGTGATGGAAGGAGAGAGAAGGGGGCGGGGTGATGGAAAGTGGGAAAATGTGGCGGGGTGATGGAAAGCGGGAGAATGGGGAGGGGTTATGGGAAGCGGGAGAATGGGGCGGGGTGATGGAAAGCGGGAGAATGGGGCGTGGTGATGGAATGAGGGAGAATGGGGCGGGGTGATGGAAGGAGGGAGAATGGGGCGGGGTGATGGAAAGCGGGAGAATGGGGCGGGGTGATGGAAGGAGGGAGAATGGGGCGGGGTGATGGAAAGCGGGAGAATGGGGCGGCGTGATGGAAAGCGGGAGAATGGGGCGGGGTGATGGAAAGCGAGAGAATGGGGCGGGGTGATGGAAGGAGGGAGAATGGGGAGGGGTGATGGAAAGCGGGGGAATGGGGCGAGATGATGGGAAGCGGAAGAATGGGGCGGGGTGATGGAAAGCGGGAGAATGGGGCGGGGTGATGGAAAGCGGGAGAATGGGGCGGGGAGATGGAAAGCAGGAGAAAGGGGAGGGGTGATGGAAAGCGGGAGAATGGGGCGGGCTGATGGAAAGCGGGAGAATGGGGCGGGGTGATGGAAGGAGGGAGAATGGGGCGGGGTGATGGAAGGAGAGAGAAGGGGGCGGGGTGATGGAAAGTGGGAGAATGTGGCGGGGTGATGGAAAGCAGGAGAATGGGGTGGGGTTATGGGAAGCGGGAGAATGAGGCGGGGTGATGGAAAGCGAGAGAATGGGGCAGGGTGATGGAAGGAGGGAGAATGGGTCGGGGTGATGGAAGGAGGGATAATGGGGCGGAGTGATGGAAAGCGGGAAAATGGGGCGGGGTGATGGAAAAAGGGAGAATGGGGCGGGGTGATGGAAAGCGAGAGAATGGGGCGGGGTGATGGAAGGAGGGAGAATGGGGAGGGGTGATGGAAAGCGGGGGAATGGGGCGGGATGATGGGAAGCGGAAGAATGGGGCGGGGTGATGGAAGGAGGGAGAATGGGGCGGGAAGATGGAAAGCGGGAGAATGGGGCGGGGTGATGGAAAGCGGGAGAATGGGGCGGGGTGATGGAAAGCGGGAGAATGGGGCGGGGTGATGGAAATCGGGAGAATGGGGCGGGGTTATGGAAGGAGGGAGAATGGGGCATGGTGATAGAAAGCGGGAGAATGTGGCGGGGTGATGGAAAGCGGGAGAATGGGGTGGGGTTATGGGAAGCGGGAGAATGGGGCGGGGTGATGGAAAGCGGGAGAATGGGGCGGGGTGATGGAAGGAGGGAGAATGGGGCGGGGTGATGGAAGGAGGGAGAATGGGGCGGGGTGATGGAAAGCGGGAGAATGGGGCGGGGTGATGGAAGGAGGGAGAATGGGGCGGGGTGATGGAAGGAGGGAGAATGGGGTGGGGTGATGGAAAGCGGGAGAATGGGGCGGGGTGATGGAAAGCGGGAGAATGGGGCGGGGTGATGGAAAGCGAGAGAATGGGGCGGGGTGATGGAAGGAGGGAGAACGGGGAGGGGTGATGGAAAGCGGGGGAATGGGGCGAGATGATGGGAAGCGGAAGAATGGGGCGGGGTGATGGAAAGTGGGAGAATGGGGCGGGAGATGGAAAGCGGGAGAAAGGGGAGGGGTGATGGAAAGCGGGAGAATGGGGCGGGCTGATGGAAAGCGGGAGAATGGGGCGGGGTGATGGAAGGAGGGAGAATGGGGCGGGGTGATGGAAGGAGAGAGAAGGGGGCGGGGTGATGGAAAGTGGGAGAATGTGGCGGGGTGATGGAAAGCGGGAGAATGGGGTGGGGTTATGGGAAGCGGGAGAATGAGGCGAGGTGATGGAAAGCGGGAGAATGGGGCGGGGTGATGGAAGGAGGGAGAATGGGGCGGGGTGATGGAAAGAGGGATAATGGGGCGGAGTGATGGAAAGCGGGAAAATGCGGCGGGGTGATGGAAAGCGGGAGAATGGGGCGGGGTGATGGAAAGCGAGAGAATGGGGCGGGGTGATGGAAGGAGGGAGAATGGGGAGGGGTGATGGAAAGCGGGGGAATTGGGCGTGATGATGGGAAGCGGAAGAATGGGGCGGGGTGATGGAAGGAGGGAGAATGGGGCGGGGTGATGGAAAGCGGGAGAATGGGGCGGGGTGATGGAAAGAGGGAAAATGGGGCGAGGTGATGGAAAGCGGGAGAATGGGGTGGTGTGATGGAAAGCGGGAGAATGGGGCGGTGTGATGGAAAGAGGGAGAATGGGGCGGGGTGATGGAAAGCGGGAGAATGGGGCGGGGTGATGGAAAGAGGGAGAATGGGGCGGGTTGATGGAAGGCGGGAGAATGGGGCGGGGTGATGCAAATCGGGAGAATGGGGCGGGGTGATGCAAATCGGGAGAATGGGGTGGGGTGATGGAAAGAGGGAGAATGGGGCGGGGTGATGGAAAGCGGGAGAATGGGGCGGGGTGATGGAAAGCGGGAGAATGGGGCGGGGCGATGGAAAGCTGGAGAACGGGGCGGGGTGATGGAAAGTGGGAGAATGTGGCGGGGTGATGGAAAGCGGGAGAATGGGGCGGGGTGATGGAAAGCGGGAGAATGGGGCGGGGTGATAGAAAGCGGGAGAATGTGGCGGGGTGATGGAAAGCGGGAGAATGGGGTGGGGTTATGGGAAGCGGGAGAATGGGGCGGGGTGATGGAAAGCGGGAGAATGGGGCGGGGTGATGGAAGGAGGGAGAATGGGGCGGGGTGATGGAAGGAGGGAGAATGGGGCAGGGTGATGGAAAGCGGGAGAATGGGGCGGGGTGATGGAAGGAGGGAGAATGGGGCGGGGTGATGTAAGGAGGGAGAATGGGGTGGGGTGATGGAAAGCGGGAGAATGGGGCGGGGTGATGGAAAGCGGGAGAATGGGGCTGGGTGATGGAAAGCAGGAGAATGGGGCGGGGTGATGGAAAGCGGGAGAATGGGGCGGGGTGATGGAAGGAGGGAGAATGGGGCGGGGTGATGGAAAGCGGGAGATTGGGGCAGGGTGATGGAAAGCGGGAGAATGGGGCGGGGTGATGGAAAGCGGGAAAATGGGGCGGGGTGATGGAAAGCAGGAGAATGGGGCTGGGTGATGGAAAGCGGGAGAATGGGGCGAGGTGATGGAAAGCGGGAGAAAGGGGCGGGGTGATGGAAGGAGGGAGAATGAGGCGGGGTGATGGAAGGAGGGAGAATGGGGCGGGGTGATGGAAAGTGGGAGAATGGGTTGGGGTGATGGAAAGCGGGAGAATGGGTCGGAGTGATGGAAAGCGGGAGAATGGGGCGGGGTGATGGAAAGCGGGAGAATGGGGCGGGGTGATGGAAAGCGGGAGAATGGAGCGGGGTGATGGAAAGCGGGACAATGGGGCGGGGTGATGGAAAGCGGGAGAATGGGGCGGGTAATGGAAAGCGGGTGAATGGGGCAGGGTGATGGAAAGCGGGAGAATGGGGCGGGATGATGGAAAGCAAATGAATGGGGCGGGGTGATGGAAAGCGGGAGAATTGGGCGAGGTGAAGGAAAGCGGGAGAATGGGGCGGGTGATGGAAAGCGGAAGAATGGGGCGGGGTGATGGAAGGAGGGAGAATGGGGCGGGGTGATGGAAGGAGAGAGAAGGGGGCGGGGTGATGGAAAGTGGGAAAATGTGGCGGGGTGATGGAAAGCGGGAGAATGGGGTGGGGTTATGGGAAGCGGGAGAATGGGGCGGGGTGATGGAAAGCGGGAGAATGGGGCGGGGTAATGGAATGAGGGAGAATGGGGCGGGGTGATGGAAGAAAGGAGAATGGGGCGGGGTGATGGAAAGCGGGAGAATGGGGCGGGGTGATGGAAGGAGGGAGAATGGGGCGGGGTGATGGAAAGCGGGAGAATGGGGCGGCGTGATGGAAAGCGGGAGAATGGGGCGGGGTGATGGAAAGCGAGAGAATGGGGTAGGGTGATGGAAGGAGGGAGAATGGGGAGGGGTGATGGAAAGCGGGGGAATGGGGCGGGATGATGGGAAGCGGAAGAATGGGGCGGGGTGATGGAAAGCGGGAGAATGGGGCGGGGTGATGGAAAGCGGGAGAATGGGGTGGGGTGATGGAAAGCGGGAGAATGGGGCGGGGTGATGGAAAGCGGGAGAATGGGGCGGGGTGATGGAAAGCAGGAGAATGGGGCGGGGTGATGGAAGGAGGGAGAATGGGGCGGGCTGATGGAAAGCGGGAGAATGGGGCGGAGTGATGGAAAGCGGGAGAATGGGGCGGGGTGATGGAAGGAGGGAGAATGGGGCGGGATGATGGAAAGCGGGAGAATGTGGCGGGGTGATGGAAAGCGGGAGAATGGGGTGGGGTTATGGGAAGCAGGAGATTGGGGCGGGGTGATGGAAAGCGAGAGAATGGGGCGGGGTGATGGAAGGAGGGAGAATGGGGCGGGGTGATGGAAGGAGGGAGAATGGGGCGGAGTGATGGAAAGCGGGAGAATGGGGCGGGGTGATGGAAGGAGGGAGAATGGGGCGGGATGATGGAAAGTGGGAGAATGGGGCGGGGTGATGGAAATCGGGAGAATGGGGCGGGGTGGTGGAAAGCGGGAGAATGGGGCGGGGTGATAGAAGGAGGGAGAATGGGGCGGGGTGATAGAAAGCGGGAGAATGTGGTGGGGTGATGGAAAGCGGGAGAATGGGGCGGGGTGATGGAAGGAGGGAGAATGGGGCAGGGTGATGGAAGGAGGGAGAATGGGGTGGGGTGATGGAAAGCGGGAGAATGGGGCGGGGTGATGGAAAGCAGAAGAATGGGGCGGGGTGATGGAAAGCGGGAGAATGGGGCGAGGTGATGGAAAGCGGGAGAATGGGGCGGGTGATGGAAAGCGGAAGAATGGGGCGGGGTGATGGAAGGAGGGAGAATGGGGCGGGATGATGGAAAGCGGGAGAATGGGGCGGGGAGATGGAAAGCAGGAGAAAGGGGCGGGATGATGGAAAGCGGGAGAATGGGGCGGGGTGATGGAAGGAGGGAGAATGGGGCGGGGTGATGGAAGGAGAGAGAAGGGGGCGGGTTGATGGAAAGTGGGAAAATGTGGCGGGGTGATGGAAAGCAGGAGCGGGGTTTAGGGTTTAGGGTTTAGGGTTTAGGGTTTAGGGTTTAGGGTTTAGGGTTTAGGGTTTAGGGTTTAGGGTTTAGGGTTTAGGGTTTAGGGTTTAGGGTTTAGGGTTTAGGGTTTAGGGTTTAGGGTTTAGGGTTTAGGGGTTTAGGGTTTAGGGTTTAGGGTTGAGGGTTTAGGGTTTAGGGTTTAGGGTTTAGGGTTTAGGGTTTAGGGTTTAGGGTTTAGGGTTTAGGGTTTAGGGTTTAGGGTTTAGGGTTTAGGGTTTAGGGTTTAGGGTTTAGGGTTTAGGGTTTAGGGTTTAGGGTTTAGGGTTTAGGGTTTAGGGTTTAGGGTTTAGGGTTTAGGGTTTAGGGTTTAGGGTTTAGGGTTTAGGGTTTAGGGTTTAGGGTTTAGGGTTTAGGGTTTAGGGTTTAGGGTTTAGGGTTTAGGGTTTAGGGTTTAGGGTTTAGGGTTTAGGGTTTAGGGTTTAGGGTTTAGGGTTTAGGGTTTAGGGTTTAGGGTTTAGGGTTTAGGGTTTAGGGTTTAGGGTTTAGGGTTTAGGGTTTAGGGTTTAGGGTTTAGGGTTTTAGGGTTTAGGGTTAGGGTTTAGGGTTTAGGGTTTAGGGTTTAGGGTTTAGGGTTTAGGGTTTAGGGTTTAGGGTTTAGGGTTTAGGGTTTAGGGTTTAGGGTTTAGGGTTTAGGGTTTAGGGTTTAGGGTTTAGGGTTTAGGGTTTAGGGTTTAGGGTTTAGGGTTTTAGGGTTTAGGGTTTAGGGTTTAGGGGTTTAGGGTTTAGGGTTTAGGGTTTAGGGTTTAGGGTTTAGGGTTTAGGGTTTAGGGTTTAGGGTTTAGGGTTTAGGGTTTAGGGTTTAGGGTTTAGGGTTTAGGGTTTAGGGTTTAGGGTTTAGGGTTTAGGGTTTAGGGTTTAGGGTTTA